CACCCAACTAATTTTTTATATTTATAGTAGAGATGGGGTTTCATCATGTTGGCCCAGCTGATCTTAAACCACTTCAGCCTCCCAAAATGCTGGGATTGTAGGTGTGAGCCACTGTGCCTGGCTGTCCAGTATTTTATTTAAAAGTTGTCACTAGGTTGTTCACTATTGTGAATTTATAGTATTATAAGTTGGGGATGCTAAAAGCACCAGGCTAAAATACTACTAGGTTTTCTCATCTTTTAATTCCATTTTGTTAGAAAAAATAATCACAACCAGGGTTCTTTTGCCTTTCCCAGCCATCTAGACTGCTCTACTGTAATGTCGGAAAGATTGTATACAATAAAAAGTGTAGCCAGTTGATTGGGATTTGGAAAAATTGAATCAAACATTTGCATTTATTCAGAATGGTCTTAAACTGTTGACTGTGGGGTGCCCACAGGATGAACACTGGTGGTGTGGGTGGGAGGACTTTCCTTGGGTACTGCAATTGCATTTGAAAGATATATTTTCCAAAACCTGAGCAGAGAGAGGCTAGGAGGAATGGAGACAGGACATTGAAAATGCTAATTCCCTTACTAGTAGAACATGGAATCTCTGATAATGATTTAAAAAAAATAAATGCCAGGATACATTGTAGTATAAAGATACACCTAATATAATTTAAAGTGAGTATTTATATTCAGGCCAGGCATGGTGATTCACACCTGTAATCCCAGCAGTTTGGGAGTCCGAGGCGAGTGGGTCACCTGAGATCAGGAGTTCAAAACCAGTCTGACCAACATGGCGAAACCCCATTTCTACTAAAAATACAAAAAAAATTAGCCAGGTGTGGTGGTGCACACCTGTAGTCCCAGCTACTTGGGAGGTTGAGGCAGGAGAATCGCTTGAACCCAGGAGACAGACACTGCAGTGAGCTGAGATCGCGCCACTGCACTCCATCTTGGGCAACAGAGTGAGTGAGACCCTGTCTCAAAAAATTAAAAAATTAAAAAGTGAGTCTTCATATTCAAATTAGCATATGAGGTTAGGCAACAATTCTTGTGTGGGAGCAGGTATATTTAATTTGCCTTTCTTTGTAGTCAGCATAGTATATCCTTGTAAGGGTTTGTTTTATATACAATTTTATAGTCTATTCTAAATCCCCTTTGGCAACTAAAGCTGAAATTATATAGTGCCAGCATACTGTGATTTGTATATTTATGTAAGACAAGATTGCATCATTCTGATCCAGTTGCAGCATTTTAATTTTATCTGATAGGTCTGTCTGTATTAAGCAATCAGTAGCTATGTGCAAATATTACGTCAACTTAATTACCAGACCCAGAAGGCCAGAGGTAATCAAAGAGTACTTTAGAAAGATGAAATATTTATAATGAGTTACGGAAACAATGTTTTATCTTGGTATAATTTAATGCATATTTTTTTTACCTCAATTTTGTTACAAAACTTGATAATTTTATCCCTCCATTTAATATTTAATATTTTCAGATTCTAGAGTATTTAAAATTTAAACACACTTATAAAATTAATTGTAATTTCTACTTATGTTAATAGTTATGATTTAGGACCAAAACTATCCTGGTTTTGTCTGCAACTTGAAACATTGTGTATTTTAAACTATATAATTTGGGAACATTATTTCATAGACTGTGAATAACCAGATATAAAATTTGTGAATTTTTTAATGCTTTATTTATGTAAAATCATTTGTATATTTTATTTATAGCATGCATTTTCTAGCTCATTGAAAGTACATAAAAAGTCAAATCTATCCTTATACAAATATTTGATTTCTAGTTTCCTTTTATTAAAACATTTTCATTCATTCATAATTTCACACCTCAATCTCTAAGACATATATTGGGTATTTGATAAGGTAGGTCTTCTGGTGGAGCACATTCATTCAGCTTTGGAGACCAAATATTAAATGCACTGAGTTGCGTCTTATGCATGTTAAGGTCTAAAGCCAACAGAAAAGGTGAAATTTTTGAATAATCAAATTGCCCTTGGGAGGGTCTTGTGTAAGATCTACATTCCATCTCATGGTAAGTCCCTTCCACTGATCTTTTCCTCCAGAACTGGGATAGAAATTAGTAACAGCAGAAAGCCAATGCTATCCCTAGGATAGTGGGGTGGAGGGAGGAAACCATCACAAAGCTCAAGGCCAGGGTCACACAGAGGACGCCGAACCCCCACTGCAGAGCACGGGTTCCTTCAGGGTGCTGCAGCTAGAGGCAAAGAAGGTAGGAAAGAAATACTCACTTTTCTTTTCTTTTTGCCACTGTCTCCCATTGACAAGACCTGACTGGAAGCCAGCTGGCACAGGAGCTTGGGAGATGTATCCATCTGGTGTCAATGCCCCTGACTTAGAGCAGAGCAGCAGATCTCATGTCAAGCAAGCTCAAATGGGCACAGGCGCTAAGTAGCTGCCTTGCACTGGGGAGCATATTATATGGACAACACTTACCTTTCAACAATAGAATCATAGCCTGTGAAGATGTCATCATACAATAAATATTCTGGAACCAAGATTACCTTTATCCATCTGAGGTCCACTCCAGAAAGCGGAATTAGGGGAAAGTGCCTGCCCTGGACTTGTATTGCAAATTCCATACCTCCTCTTCATCTACTTATTCCCCTTTCCCTTTTTCTTCTCCCAAACTGGGCTAAAGGGAAATGTGAAGAACATTATTGCCTCTTTAAAACCATACACATATAAAACATGAATAATATTTTTCAGTGACAAAAGATAAGAATGGAAGCATTCAGCATAGTGTATTCATAGAAGTGTTGGGAAAGAGAAAGTAAAGAATAATTTCTTAAATTTTTTTCTTGCAAGACTGAAAATAGAATCTTAAGGAGATGGTGTTCTTAAAGCCTTGCTCTGACTACTTAAACTTTTCTTCATCCACTAATTACTTTGAAAAGTCACTTAGTCATTTGTCAGTCCTAACCTTTAGAGATAAACATTTAAAATCAGTTCCCTAATCACAGCATTTGTTTTCTTTTTTGAGACGAAGTCTCACCCTATCTCCAGGCTGGAGTACAGTGGTGTGATCTCGGCTCACTGAAATCTTCACCTATGTTCAAGTGATTCTCCTGCCTCAGCCTCCTGAATAGCTGGAACTACAGGCATGCACCACCACACACAGCTAACTCTTCTATTTTTAGTAGACAGGGTTTCACCATGTTGGCTAGGATGATCTCGATCTCTTAACCTCGTGATCCAACCACCTCAGCCTTCCAAAATGTTGGGATTACAGCCGTGAGCCACCATGCCTGGCTCACAGCATCATTTTTCAAGGGTCTTTAGGGTGACCACATGTCCTGGTTTGCCAAAGACAGTCCCAGTTTCCACCTGCTGTCCTAGTATAATCATGAATATTATCCCTTTCAGTTTCAAAAGTGTCATGGTTTACACAGTAAATTACCTGACCATCCTAATATGCCCCCGTTTCTTGAATCTAGGCTGCTTATAAAATTCACATTTTCTGTCTCTCAGTCTAGTGTTCTTTATACTAGACTGATAAGCGTCCACAAAGGAAGCAATATTGGCCAACAGTTAATCTTGGGTCTTTAGATTAGGATTTAGAGTCCTACCTTCAAAGCGTTTTCCTTCTGGAGTGGACTTTTGTACAAATGGTACGGTGATTTGTGGAGTCAGTGAAAAACCAGGCTAACCCAGCTTGTTTTACTGGCCCAAATTTTTCTTCCCAGGGCCATAAGCCAGTTATTACCAGAAAACAAAAGCAAACAAGCGAGTATTTAGTTTTAAATTGTTATTAAGGAGAAACATCTAGAATCAATTCTCACCACATAAACCCAAATCACCCCCAAAGCTAAGGGGACCTAAAATATGCAATGGGTGCTGTTTTTATAAAGATTATGGGAAAGCCTTAACAGGTAAGTTGCTGTACCTTCACACAAAGAAAATAGCAGGTTATTATGCTTTTGTTAAAACAATGACCAACTACTACATCATCTCTAAATCATTCCAGAATTAAGATAAACCCTAAAAAAAAAATGTGTCTCTGATGAGTGCATTTTAGATTTGCTTGAACGAGGGAGCAGTTATTACTTGCTACTAAAATGCTCTGGAAACATTTGGTGCATACTCCAAAAGAATGCAAATAGTTAGGCCTAAGGAGGGAATGATACATTATATGAACACTGGCAAAGGGCCTTACAAGAATGTACGCTGTGGAGAATGTGACCAGTGCTTTACAAACCATCAATTCATAAAGTTTGGTATATGTGATGGAAAGGAAAAGACTTGCCTTGACCAACAGCATCAGTCCAGCTGCACTAAATTCAGTATGAAAGAAATCCAGAAGTTTAAGAGTGAATTGAAGCCCTTCAACAATCAAAATGAGAGAATACTAACAAGACCCTTTTTTCTGTCAGGTACATTTAATTCAGGAGACCTATGTTATTGAATAGTGTTTGCGAATCAACCACTGAGTCTTCAGTGTACTTGTATGTCCTATAACCTGAATTTTTATATGTTCTTGAATAGTGTTTGCGAATCAACCACTGAGTCTTCAGTGTACTTCTATGTCCTATAACCTGAATTTTTAAGATTTTAAAGATACTTTTAACATTCATTTTAGATGGATGATACAAGCATACCTACAGGAAACTATTTCTCAATTCAAGTTCTGCTCAGTACTAGTGGCCCAGAAGATAATCTTAACGGGTGTTCCAAAATGAAACATAAACATAAAAGCTAATTCTGGGATGAAACAACTTGGGAAACATGTTCATATGTTTCACTGTAGCAGGTAACAGGACTCTTCACTGCAGCATTGTGTGAAGCATGATATACATATATATATATTTATTTATATTTATATATATGGGATTTTAAAGAGGATGAGAGGGTTTAAGAGAGAATGCGGCCTAATTTTCAGGTTTTTCATGCTCGTTGGATCACTGATTCCTCACACTCCCCCACCACATAAGTCCTGGCTTTTTTGCTAACCATCTATTCTTCTATGCAGAGACACTTCCATTCCGTAGAATACAGTTTAATACAGAAAATGCTGGCCAAAAGGACTCACAAAAGGTCGGGAATCTTTATGTGTTTTTGTGTCATTCTGAGTTTTTAGTAAAAGAAATGTTTCCCTTCCTGAGATAATGAAGAGGCTGAATAGATAATATGTTTTCCTAGGCGCAGATGGCAGATTTGAAGTGCTCTGGCAAGCAACTTTGTGTCCCTAATATGTACGTAGTACTTTTACCTTCAGCCTGTAGTAAAACATCACTCAGCAGAAGATTGATAAGCAGTTCAAAAATAATGTGTTCTTTCCTTTCAAATTAGATTCTCAAACCAGAATAAGCTTTGCAATTACTGCCAAAATGTCTCAGAGGGCATGAGGTTAATCGAAGCTGGAGAGGACTGGTAAAAGAGGCAGCTGCGAGACCCTGAGAAGCACTCCATTTGCTATGAGGTTTGTAGGGGCAGCACTTTGCTGTGGGGCTCGGTAAGGGGATTGGTTTTAATACTGGAATTATATTTTACTGGCTTTTAATCATAAATAGGGAAATCCATTTTTCCCACACGTAAGAATATACGTAAGCTAATTTGGTCCATAATTAGAAAAATCATTGCGTTTAGTATATGGACTGTAACAATAGGAGTCATCACTCATGAGTCGTATGACACATTGTTTCCCTCTGGTGAAGTTTTACTTTAAGATCTGCTGGGCATATCTGGGGAGAGAAAGAGATGAAGGTCAAGACATGCTTATTTTTATAGATGAGAGAGAGAGAGGCAAAGAGATTCATTAAACTTTGAGTTATACTTTATTTTTATTTATTTATTTATTTTTGAGATAGGGTCTTGCTCTGTCACCCAGGTTGGAGTGCAGTGGCACGATGTTGGCTCACTGCAACCTCTACCACTAGGGCTCAAGCAATTCTCCCACCTCAGCCTCCCAAGTTGCTGGGACTACAGGTGCACACCACTGCACCTGGCTAATTTCTTTAATTTTTAGTAAAGAGGAGGTCTCGCTATGTTGCCCAGGCTGGTCTCGAATGCCTGGCCTCAAGCAATCTGCCTGCTTTGGCTTCCCAAAGCACTAGGATTACAGGTGTGAGTCACTGTGCCTGGCCTATATTTTATTCAGCAGGAATCTTTGCTATTTGCTATGATTTTTAATTCTTCTTGCTTCTTAATTTTGCTTCCTCGATGAGCGTGTTAAATGTTCTTTAAAATCTTCCTTTAAAAATATCATAAATATATTAAACAGCAGTGCTCTAATTGAATGTGCTAATTTGACAAATATTTGAGTGGATACCTACTATTTGCAGAGCTTCAGGGAATACATTGATGAGTAAGATAGTCTTTTTTTTGTTTGTTTGTTTGAGGCAGAGTCTTGCTCCGTCTTCCAGGGCAGCGGTGCGATCTAACCTCACTGCAACCTGGGCCTCCTGGGTTTCAAGTGATTCTCCTGCCTCAGCATCCCAAGTAACTTAGATTACAGAAAAACATTACCACGCCTGGGTAATTTTTGTATTTTTAGTAGAGACAGGGTTTTACCATGTTGGCCAGGCTGGTCTCGAACTCCTGAGCTCAAGTGACCTGCCTGTCTCAGTCTCCCAACATGCAGGTATTACAAGCGTGAGCCACTGTGCCTGGTGAATAAAATAGTGTTTAATCTCAAGGAGTTTGTGACTTTTTTCTTCAGGGAGGTGATAAGAAAATATGTAAAAACAATAAACATAGGTTAAACAGTTGCCATTATAGAGTGTGGGTCAGGGGTATTCCTAGGCCATCAAAGGAATGGGGAAGGCTTTTTACCAAGCTTTTCTAGCCTGTGGACCATGGGCTGCATGTGGCCTAACACAAACTCTCGTAAAACATTATGAGAATTATTTTATGTTTTTTTTTTTTTTGTTGTTGTTGTTTTGCTCACCAGCTATTATTATAGTGTATCTTATGTGTGACCCAAGACAGGTCTTCTTCCAGTGTGGCCCAGGGAAGCCGAAAGATCAGACACCCTTGCACAGAGAAAGTAGCACTTGAGATGGACTTGAAGGCTGAAATTAAACTTTGAGAGGTGTTGTTGACAGGCAAGAGATAGGAAGCAAAAAACTGCATAGAGTTGGAGAAATTTATTGGTGTTTGGGGAAAGCAAGTAGTTCAGTTTGGCAGCAGTTGGAATAGGTGTTAGGGAATAATGGGAAACAGAGTTAGAAAAGCAAATTGTGAAATACTGTGTATCAGTCAGCTCAGGCAGTTAAACCGCAGTAACAAAGGACTCCAAATCACAGCAAGACTACAAGTGTTTGTCCCTTACATTACATTTCCCTTGTGGGTATCTATAGCTCTGTTTCATGGCTTTTTTGTTCTGGGCTCAGGCTGAAGAGGCAGCTTTGATCTGGGTTATCATCAGTTCTGGCCAAGGGAAGGAAAATGTGGCAGAACTGCTCAATGGTTCTCATAGTGCCTGCTTGACTGTGGCATATGTTACTGCTGCTCACATTTTGTTGGCCAGAGCAAGTCACTTGACCATGCCTGCCATCCCTGGGAAAGGGGAAATATAATCCTCTTACAGGAAAGGACAACAAACAGGTAAAACAATTTACCAAAAGCCTTAAAAGCCAGTGTGAGACTTTTGCATTTAAATCTTTAGATGGTCTGGAGCCATGGCAAGTTTCTGGACAAGATCATATGGTTTAGTAAAACAAACAAAAACATCAGGGTTGTTTTTATATTGTGTGTGTATTTGTGTGTATGTGTATGCATGTACATAAGAATTCTTTAGGGTATTCGTTTTAAATGCAGGTTCCAGGGTTCCAGAAGGTCTGATTCAGTTAGCCCAGGAATCTGCACTGTAGCAGGCAGCCAAGTGGAGCGCACGTAGATTGTCCACAGACCTCATTTGAAAAACCCCTGGCACAAGGAATAAGTGGAGAGTGCTCAGGCAAGTGCAGGTGAGACTGGGCAGTAGTGAGGGAATGGCAGGTAGGTCGTGAGTGCAGAAGCCCAGGTGCAATGTGGGCACATGGTAAATGGCCAGTACGAAGGCAGACAGATGCAGAGAGAACAGAGAACTAGAATTACTCAAGGAGGGAGGCTATGGTGCAAACAGCCGGGAAACAGGATAGTGGAAGGAGCAAATCTTAGGAGCTGAGATTAGGAATATGAGGGGAGTCTTGATCTTCCCTGAGAAGGAGGAGGTAAGCCTAGCTGATGCCAGAAAAAGCTGAGAACTTGAGGAGAGCAGAGGCAGTAAACAGGAAGTTGCAGGAAACTCAATGCTTGTAAGCAGCTATTGAAAACAGTGTTGACTAAAAACCACTACGTAAATTTGATTTTGCATTTGGCCAGCAGAGGGCGCTACAGTAGCACATATTGTTTGGGCTCGGCCACCCAAACAGTAATGGCTGCTCCTGTCCAATACGATTATTAACCCGACCTACAGTGCAGAATTTCTGGCGCTTCGTTTATTACTTTTATAGCCATGAACATTTTTAGAAGGAACTTTTCAGGTTTCTATTTAATTATTAAGGAATCTAGGGTTTTTTTTGAACTGCCAGTTCCTACAGTCAAAAAGAAATTAATTCCACGGAGTTTAAGGGAATTATTACCCATTTATTGACTTCACTTGAGGCATGGAGTGGAGATTAGGACACAGAGGAGAAAAGACCCAGAAGAGAGAACAGTGCATTTGTAGCATGACTTCTGGAAGTGTAATTGCTGAGCCCCAGGGGTTGGAACCTTACTTTTTTATTTTTTTAAGGCAGAGTCTCGCTCTGTCACCCAGGCTGGAGTGTAGTGGTGCGATCTCAGCTCACTGCAACCTCTGCCTCTCGGGTTCAAGCAATTCTTCTGCCTCAGCCTCCTGAGTAGCAGGGATTACAGGCTGGTATTTAGGCGGTAACATGGTATCACCATACCATGCTAGTTTTTGTATTTTTAGTAGTGACGGGGTTTCACCATGTTGACAAGGCTGGCCTCAAACTCCTGACCTCAAATGATCCGCTGGCCTCAACCTCCCAAAGTGCTGGAATTACAGGCATGAGCCACTGGCCCAGCCAACTTTTATGACCAGATAGTATTCCATTGTGTGGACAAACAACATTTTTAAAATCTCTTCACTAGTTGTTGGGTGTTTGGGTGGTTTCTACATTTTGGCTATTATGAATAGTGCTGCTGTGAATGTTTGTGTGCAAGTTTTTGTGTGTGCAAGTTTTTGTGTGGACATGTTTTTATTTTTCTTGGATATATACCTGGGAGTAGAATTGCTGGGTCAAATGGTAACTCAATATTTATTTATTTATTTATTTTTGAGACAGAGTTTCGCTCTTGTTACCCAGGCTGGAGTGCAATGGCGCGATCTCGGCTCACCGCAACCTCCGCCTCCTGGGTTCAGGCAATTCTCCTGCCTCAGCCTCCTGCGTAGCTGGGACTACAGGCACGCGCCACCGTGCCCAGCTAATTTTTTGTATTTTTAGTAGAGACGGGGTTTCACCATGTTGACCAGGATGATCTCGATCTCTTGACCTCATGATCCACCTGCCTCGGCCTCCCAAAATGCTGGGATTAGAGGCGTGAGCCACCGCGCCCGGCCAGTAACTCAATATTTAATGTTTTGAGGAACTGCCCAACTGTTTTCTACAGTGGCTGTGCCATTTTTCCTTTCCATCAGCAGTGTGTGAGTGTTTCAGTTTCTCCACATCCTCACCCACATTTGTTATGTTCTGCTTTTTAGGGGCTTTCTTGTTTTCATACGGCCATACTAATAAGTAGAAGTGGTATATCCCTGTGGTTTTTTTGGTTTTGTTTTTATGGTCGATGCTTGAGATCGTTACTCTTGTGTGTCAACTTGACTGGGTGATGGGATACCCAGCTGGTTGGTTAAACCTTATTTCTGGGTGTGTTTGTGAAGGTATTCCTAAAAAAGGTTAGCATTTGAATGGTTGGACTGAGTAAAGAAGATAGCCGATGTGGGTGGGCATTATCAGATCTACCAAGGGCCTGAATAAAACAAGAAAGCAGAGGAAGGTTAAATTAACTGCTTGACTACTGAGGTGGGGCAGCAGTCTTCTCCAGCCCTCACCACTCCTGGTTCTCAGGCCTTAAGACCTGGACTAGAACCTAGACTATTGATTCTCCACCTCTCAGACTTTCAGATACACCACAGGCTTTCCTAGGTTTCCAGTTCACAGGTGGTTCACATCGGGACTTAGCCTCCATAATCATGTGAGCCAGTCAATATCTTTTTTATTTATTTTAAGTTCTGGGATACCTATGCAGAACATGCAGATTTGCTACATATGTATACATGTGCCATGGTGGTTTGCCACACCTATCAACCTGTCATCTAGGTTTTAAGCCCCACATGCATTAGGTATTTGCCCCAATGCTCTCTCTCTCTTTGTCCCTACCCCTTGACAGGCCCCGGTGTGTGATGTTCCCTTCCCTGTGTCCATGTGTTCTCACTGTTCAACACCCACTCATGAGTGAGAACATGTGATGTCTGGTTTTCTGTTCCTGTGTTAGTTTAATGAGAATGATGGCTTCTAGCTTCATCCATGTCCCTGCAAAGGACATGAACTAATTCTTTTTTATGGCTATATAGTATTCAATGGTGTATATGTGCCACATTTTCTTTATCCAGTCTATCATTGATGGGCATTTGGTTTGGTTCCAAGTCTTTGCTATTGTAAATAGTGCTGCAATAAACATACGTGTCCATATGTCTTCATAGCAGAATGATTTATATTCCTTTGGGTATATACACAGTAATGGAATTTCTGGGTCAAATGGTATTTCTGGTTCTAGATGAGCCAATCTATATCTTATAAATAAACAATCAAACAAACAAATCCTACTGGTTCTGTCTTGCTGGAGAACACTGACTAATCCAATGCTTTATTTTGTTTATTTATTTACTGTGGTAAAATATACAGCACATAAGAGTTATAATTTTAGCCTTTTGTTGTTGCTGTTGTGAGACAATACTCTTGCCCAGGCTGGAGGTCAGTGGTGCAGTCACAGCTCACTGCAGCCTCAACTTCCAAGGCTCAAGCAATCCTCCCACCTTAGCCTTCCGAGTAGCTGGGACTACTGGCATGTACCAGTATACCCAGCTAACTTTTTATTTTTTGTAGAGCTGGGTTCTCCCTATGTTGGTTTTGAACTCCTAGGCTTCCAAAAGGGCTAGAATTACAGGTGTAAGCCACCGCACCTGGTCTGTTAAGCATTTGTAATTGTACAGCTCAGTGGCTACTCTGGGCTTGCTGGCGATTTGTATATCTTCCTTGGAGAAATGTCTGTTCAAGATCTTTGCTCATGTTTGATTTGGGTTGTGTTTTTATTGTTGAGTTGTAACTATTCTTTATATATTCTAGATACTTGCCTCAATTGTAACTGCAGGTGTCTGAATGATGGAGGTGACTGAATGATGACGCAGAGAGGTCAACACTAGTGAAAGAAGAGGTTTCTTACTTACATTTCCTGAGAGGAGGGCACATGCCACAACACACAGGGCCACAGCGGAAGCACCAGGATGGTCAAGAGGTAAAAGATGAGTGAGAAGGCAGGGGCCAGAGTCTTTATTGGGGTTTCTGCAGGAAAGGCGAGGCAGGACAGGGCTATTAGTTTAGGACTGGCTACTCTGAATAACATTGGTGAGCTTGGGCTATAGGGGTGGTCTCTAGTTGCCTGGAACCTGGCCTTGGGATGATTTAGGATAAGGGAAATATTGGTTTGGTGTGTGAGAGAGTTATATAGACGGTAGGTGGAGGCATAGACTTGAATCAGCCTGTCTGCATGAAAGAATTTCAGGCAAGTTGAATTCCAATGATGTATATATTGGTCCAGTTGTTTGGTAATACATTTCCAAGCTTTTAAAAACAGTGAATCATATGTGGACGGGAACAACTCTCCCTCACTTGACTCCTGCACCCAGGCTTTCCTCTCTGTGGGAAGGCATCATCCTTGTGGGGGAATGCCCCTCCTGGAAGGAAAGAGGTAAACATTTGTCTGCTGCCCGGCAGTTACTAGATGCCAAATAGATATAAAGAATCTAAGGCCAGGCATGGTGGCTCACACCTGTAATCCCAGCACTTTGAGAGGCCAAGGCAGGTGCATCACTTGAGGTCAGGAGTTCGAGACCGGTCTGACCAAAATGGAGAAACCCTGTCTCTACTAAAAATACAGACACTAGCCAGGTGTGGCAGCATGCACCTGTAATCACAGCTACGTGGGAGGCTGAGGCAAGAGAATCACTTGAACCTGGGAGGAAGAGGTTGTGGTGAGCCGAGATCATACCACTGCACTCCAGCCTGGGTGACAGAATGAGATTCCATCTAAAAAAAAAAAATCTAAGAAACCACAGGACAGTATTAGATAGGCTCTGAATAGATATATATATAGTTGGCAAACATATTCTCCCATTCTGTGGGTTATCGTTACACTTTTTGGATAGAGTTTTTCAATGTTTAAAAGTTTTAAATTTTGGTGAAATTTATTTCATCTATGTTTTTTTCTTGTTGCTTGGGCTTCTGACACATGCTGTGAGGGAGTTGGCATTCTCAGAGCAAGGAACCCATTGCTAAGTCTAAGATCATAAGAATTTATCCCCGTGTATTCTCCTGAGAGTTTTATAGTTTGGCTCTTACATTTAGGTCTTTGTTTCATTTTGAGTTAATTTTTTATATGGTATGAGGTAAGGATATATCTTTAAAAATTTTTTTATGTTATAAACTGGTAAGTTAAAGACTATAAAAGACAATTTGGTGATATTTATTACAAATGTATATCCCTCCCAATTCTATTTCCGGGATTGTATTCTATAGACACAGGCAAAAGTTATATGTATAAGGTACTTCACTGCAACCTTCTTTTTTTTTTTTTTTGAATAATAGTAAAGCATTGTAAACAGTCTACATGTCCCTCAATAGAGACTTCAAAATAAATTGTGCAACAGATAAAATACTATAGGGCTACAAAGAAAATGAATTTCTGTGTGTGCTGCTTTGGAAAGCTCTCCAAAAAATATTGTTCAATGAAAAGAAAAACAAAGTTTAGATCAGATTTTTTTTTTGTGTGTGTGAAACATTTGGAACAATAAAAATCTATATGCACACTTGTTTTTGAAGTTTTTAATTTTTTTTTTTTTGATATAGAGTCTTTGCTCTGTTGCCCAAGCTAGAGTGCAGTGGTGTGATCTCGGCTCACTGCACCTCTGCCTCCCAGGTTCAAGTGATTCTCCGGCCTCAGCCTCCTGAGTAGCTGAGATTACAGGAGTATGCCACCACACACAGCTAATTTTTGTATTTTTACAAAATACAAAAGAGAGGAGGTTTTACTATGTTGGTCAGGCTGGTCTTGAACTCCTGACCTCAAATGATCCACCCAGCTCAGCCTCCCAAAGTGCTGCAATTATAGGCATGAGCCACCACGCCTGGCCTAAGTTTAAAGAAAATTTTAATTAAAAAATAATTGCATGTATTTATGGTATACAAAATGATGTTTTGATATACATATACACTGGGTAATGATACAACCAGGCTAATTAGCATATCCATCACCTTAAATAGTTACCATTTCTTTGTGGTGAGAACATTTAAAATCCTCTCCTTCAGGTCTTTTGAAATACACAATCCATTAGTATTAACTATAGTCACCATGTGGTGCAATAGAACACCAGAACTTAATCCTTCTATCTGATGATAACTTTGTACCCATTGACCAACCTCTCCCCTTTCCCTGCCCGACCCCCCTCCAGCTTCTGGTCACCATCATTCTACTCTCTACTTCTGTGAGCTTGACCTTTTTAGATTCCACATGTAAGTGAGGTCATGCAGAATCTGTCTCTCTGTATATGCATATGTCTTATATACAAGTAAAGAAGCTGTGCAAGGATTTGTAAGACACCAAGGATGGGGCATCCCCACAGCGAGGCAGGTGCTGGGTGCAGCAGGTAAGTGAGATAGAGTTGTTCCGGTCCACACTTGATTCACTGTTTCCAAAAACATGGAAATGCTTTACCAAACAATTGGACAAATATACGTCAAAATTTAAAAAGAACCTTCTGCAGAAAAGAAAGGAACAATGGGGATAAGAGAGCCGCATTGTTATGGGTGTTGCACGTATAATATTTTGTTCCTGTTGAAGCTCCATGTTTTCTTAGCCGGTTTTCTCATGACTACTGATGTACTAAGTACAGTCACACCAGAACTGGCTGAGGCTAGACTGTGGGCTGTGGCCCTGGGGCAGAGCAGCAAGCTGGTCCCGGGATGCCAAATAACAGCCCTGGCCTGGTCCACACAGTAAAGAGCAGACCTCACATAGGAAGGTTTACCATCAAGGAGTCCAGACAGAAAGGCTGTTCTAGAACCCCTCTCACTTAAATAAAGAACACAAGCCCAAGTGAATACATGGTTTTATTGTTTTACCAATAAGGTTCTTGACACCAGATAACTTACTTACCTATCCCTAGGCAACAGAAGGTAAGTGTCCTTGAGAAGAATATCCCTTCACAGGAAATTCACATCTGTCCTTGAGCCTGGAGAGATTGGACAGAGACCCACTCCACTAGTTGTTTTGTTGCTCTTATCTTTATGAAGTTCTGAAGTTGTTTCTAGACATTCCCCTCCCATCAAATCCTTCTAAAAACAGTTATGGCTAAAGCCTGTTTTTGCTGAAACAACACTCTCTTCCTTAATAGAAAATTGTCTATTGAAAATGTATTTTTCCTTTCTGGCTTCTGTGGTTAGTAGAGCAACACTTGCAAAACTGGTCCCAGACCTGTGAGCCTGAGACAGGAAATCTGCAAACCCACAGTGGCCACCATGTGTACTTTTCACTCTTTCTGTGTGTGCTAGACCAGAAGACCTGTGCTGGCACGCCGTTCTGACACAGGCTGTGAGAGAGTCGACATTCTCAGAGCAAATGCCACACATGTGGAAGATGGAGAAGCGTCATGTGAAGGAAGTAGGCCAAATTCCTTCTGTTTTTATCCTCCTTCCAGTATGAACCCTAAATATCTACTCCACAAGTGGGAAACTGTGATGGACCAGAGTCCTTAGAGAAGTGGTTGGGGAGCTGTGGGAGGGGGAGAAGATAATATTGGTATAATAAAATCAAATTTGAGGCCAGGCATGGTAGTTCACACCTGTAATCCCAGCATTTTGGGAGGCCAAGGTGGGTGAATCACTTGAGGTCAGGAGTTTGAGACCTGCCTGGCCAACATGGCAAAACCCTGTCTCTATAAAAAATACAAAAATCAGCCAGGTGTGGTTGTGCCTACCTTTAGTCCCAGCTACCACAGAGGTTGAGGTGGGAGAATGGCTTGAACCCAGGAGGCAGAGGTTGTAGTAAGCTAAGATTGTACCACTGCACTCCAGCCTGGGTGACAGAGTGAGACCCTGTCTCAACAAACAAAACAAAGAAAAAAAAAAAAAAAAACTAGAAAAAGAACTCCAATAAAAAGAAAAAAACCCGATTTTATGACTATAATAAAAATACACTATAAATATAATAAAATGTCATGGAGTCTTTTTCTAACTCTGGAGGAAAAAAATTGTCATCTAAAAGACAAATTCCAGAACCAAACACCAGAAAAGTTATCCACAAATGAATGGCTTCTCTAGAAGACAATGAGTGAGTCCAGTTGTAACTAGAAGTGAAAAGAAGGTCGTCTGTAGCTTCGGTTAGAGATGTTGGTCTTTTCATAGCGTGGTCTTTTTGTGGCATGCAGCAGTGAGGGCAAATTGGGAACTTTGAAGCCTTGGTTTGCTGCTGCAAAAATGGGAATGAGCTTTGGAGGAAAGTGAAGCATCCAACCCTACTCTGTGGCTCCTGTCTTGTGGTTGGCGTGAGGCACCACATGCATCCTTTCCACTTCAACTAAATTCCGATTGTTTGCTTTATTGTTTGAAAAATGCCCAGTTGTTAAACTTTTCTGTTGGATCAGTTTTACTAACTGCATTCCATCCTTTGGTTTTGAAAAGTTGGAGGCAATTTGACCACATTTCTTCATTCCATGTCTCCAGAAGTCACCAAAATATAGCTACATCTTTCTTGGTAGAGTTAAGTTTTTTTCTTTTCTTTTTGCAGAAGTCTTCAAAGAGAGATGAAAGGAACTCTACTTCTGCCTTCCATTCATTGCTAGGGTCCTCTTATCTTTGACAAGAAACTACATCATCTTTTGATTAAAATCTCCAGAGATGTGAACTAACGTCTGCCAAAGAGAAGTCCTGTGGGTGGATAGCTTTCTGGTTTAACGCATTTCCCTGCATTTCACTATTTTGCTTTCCTAAGAGCTTGGTGTTGCCCCACTGAGCAAGGCTGACTCTTGTGGAGGCCCTTCAAATATGGGGTGTTAGTTCTACTGTCTATCCTGTGAGATATTTCCAAGGTGAGTCACACCTTTCCCCGGGATTGTGGCCCCATCTGTGATTCGGATCTTCAGATTGCCAGTGTCCCCTGCAGTCAGGCTTGTATATTGATGCTAGATTTACTGAAAACAGCTTTACCTTTGCCAATCATTTGTTGAAAAATCAACAGAGTGTTCCTGTCATAGAAAAACACATTTCCTGCTAAGACTTTTTTTTCCGCTCCAACAGCTCTTTGATTGGTTTATAACCTGGGTCTCTATTTCCCAATAAAGCCATCTCCTCTTCTGATTAGGCAGCCTTCACAGTGGTACCTCCACTTACTTTGCTCATCTCAGCTTCTCATCATATGCATCCTGGGGTTCCTCATCTGGTAAGCTTTACATTGCTTTCTCCAAAATCATAATTTTTTGGTAAGCTTAAATATCCCTTTTTTCATAAAGCCTATCCTGAACAACATAAACTTCAATTATATGACATGTATTTTGAATGTGTCTCCTAAGTGAATGGCTGAGGTCAGGTTCCCCAGGAAACAAACTATGAAATAGAGATTTGCATGCAGGATGGTTATTGGGAGTAGTCTCAAATACAAACCTGAGGAAATAGAAGTAAAGGAAGAAGGATTGGATACAGGGTAAATTTGAATTGTGATGTTGTTGCAACAGAAGCTTCAGCAAAGTCATGGAGCACCCAGGAGCTGGGATTGCCTATTCAGGCAGAGAGGCCAGACTTTCTATTGCTGTATGGACTGGATGTGGGCTGCCTTGTGTGAGAAGCAAAATCTTGAGCCAGAAGCTTTCTTTTGCAGAGAACAATTTCTGGGAAGGAACTGGCTGTGAGTTCTCAGCAAGCAATTCACCCAGCAGCTGCGAAAATGAAGATGAGTGTCTCAGCTCTGAGATGGAGTCCGGGTGGCAATCCTTAACATGAACAACATGCAGTTAAGAACAACCCAGCTTGTGCTTATGTGGATGTACAAGAGCTTCAGGTGATTCTGTCATGCCTCCTGGTAATAACCACTGTTCTTGCCCTTCAGGTGACTCTATGCACCCATAGATGTTTGTGGATGTTCTTTACTATCTAACATAGGACAGCATATTGAGAGGAGGCAGGTATATGTAGGTCGAAATAGTTGAAGAGGGTTAAAAATTAAAATGCCATGAATATTGTATACAGTTTGGATTTTTTTTTTGACCTACAGTTTAGGAAATTTCTACAGTTTGATTGTGAGAAAAATATTTAAATGTAACCCTCTAGATTCCAGGTTTTAATAGTACTCATACATGTGATATATTTAACAGCATATGATATACAGAAAAACTACACAGATCCTAAGTGTACAGCTTGATAAATTTTCACTTGGTGAATAAATCCATGTATCAAGCCTGCAGAACAAGAATGAGAAGTGTCATCTGAACACCTTATCCAAGAAGTGTTCATGTACCCACTTGCCGGTTCCCTAACGGCAGCGAAGAGTAGCATCTCTCTTGACTTCCTTCACCATAGGTTAGTTTGCTCACTCTTGATGTTCAGGTGAATGAAATTTTACAGTGTGTAACTTTCACAAACTTGTGCCAACACTATGAATATGAGTCATTCATGTTGTTATGCACAGTTGTAATCCATTCATCCTCCACAATGTATTTATCTATTCTACTGTAGATGGACATTTGGTTGTTTCAAGTTTGGGGACATTATGATTAGTGAGACTGGACATTCTTGTACCTGTCATTTAGTGAATATGTATATGCACTTCTGTTGGTTATATATCTAGCAATAGAATTGTTGAACTATACATATAGCAATGTTCCTTGGGCCAGGAGCAGTGGCTCAAGCCTGTAATCCCAGCACTTTGGGAGGCCGAGGAGGGTGGATCATGAGGTCAAGAGATCAAGACCATCTTGGTCAACATGGTGAAACCCCGTCTCTACTTAAAATACAAAAAATTAGCTAGGCATGGTGGCGTGTGCCTGTAATCCCAGCTACTCAGGAGGCTGAGGCAGGAGAATTGCCTGAATCCAGGAGGCGGAGTTTGCGGTGAGCCGAGATTGCGCCATTGCACTCCAGCCTGGGTAACAAGAGGGAAACTCCGTCTCAAAAAAAAAAAAAAAAAAAAAAAAAAAAAAGAAATGTTCCTTGACTTACAATGGAATTATGTCCCAATAAACCCATTGTAAGTTGAAAACATTATTACATTTAAAATGCTTTTAATATACCTAACCTACAGAACACCAAAGCCTAGCCTAGCCTACCTTAAATGTGCTCAGAAAGCCTTACATCAGCCTACAGCATGGCAAAATCATTGGCAATACACTATGCCACATAGTATCAGTTTGTCCTCATGACTGCATGACTGACTGGGAGCTGTTGCTCACTGCACTGCCCAGCATCATGTCTCATGAGCACTGTCATGTATATCGCTAGCCCAGGAAAATATCAAAATTCAAAGTATGGCTCCGGCTGGGTCCAGATCACACCTATAATCCCAGCAGTTTTGGAGGTCCAGGTGGGCAGATCACTTGAGGTCAGAAGTTCAAGAACAGCCTGGCCAACCTGGAGAAACCCCATCTCTACTAAAAATCTGAAAATTAGCCAGGCTACTTGGGAGGCTGAGGCAGGAGGATCACTTGAACCCAGTAGATGGAGGTTGCAGTGAGCTGAGATCATGCCATTGCACTCCAGCCTGGGTGACAGAGCAAGACTCCATCTTAAAACAAAACAAAACAAAACAAAACAAAATATGCCTTCTACTGTATGTGTATAACTTTTGCACTATCGTAAAGTTCAAAAGTCGTAAGTTGAATCATCATAAGTCAAGGATCATCTGCACATATGTTTAGCTTTACTAGATACTGTCAAACAGCTTTCCAAAGTGGTGGCCCCAGTTTACCTGCCCACCAGAAGAGTGTGAGAGTTCCAATTGCTTCACAGCCTTGCCAACATATGCTTTCACCAGTCTCTTTCATTTCAGCTATTTAGTGGTATTACATTGTGGTTTTAATTTGAATTTCTCTCATGACTAATGAAGCTGAACTTTCTTTTAATGTGTATTGAGCATTTCCTCCAAAAGACAGTTTAACTCTTTTTTTTTTTTTTGGAGAGGGTCTAGCCCTGTTGCCCAGGCTGGAGTGCAGTGGTGCAATCATGGCTCACTGCAACTTCAACCTCCTGGGCTCATGTGATGCTCCCACCTCAGTCTCCTGGGTAGCTGGGACTACAGGCGTGCACCACCACACCTGGCTAATTTTTGTATTTTTTGTAGGCACAGGGTTTTTCCATGTTACCCAGACTGGTCTTGAACTCCTGGGCTCAAGTGATCCACCCAGCTCAGCTTCCCAAAATGCTGGGACTACAGGAGTGGGCCAACAGACCTGGCCTGCTTAAGTCTTTTGTCCGTTTTTCTACTGGGCTGTCTGAGCTGAGCAAAGGCTTTTTTATGATATGATGTCATATATTTATTAATGTGAAGATGCTCATGATAGAGAAAGAGAAATTAAGAATTATAATGGTTATAATATAGCTTGCTTAATATAATCATATTGTCTTAGTCCATTTTCTATTGCTATAACAAAATACCTCAGACTGGGTAACTTATAAAGAAAAGTAAGTTTTTCATCTCATGGTTCTAGAGGCTGAGAAATCTAAGAGCATGATATTGGCATCTGGTGAGGCCTCCGTGCTGTGTCTTAACTTGGCAGAGGACATCATATGACATGAAAAAATGTGCACATCAGGTCAACTCTCTCTTCTAATAAAGCCACCAGTCCCATCATGGGGCCCACCTGATAACCTTATCTAATGCTAATTACCTCCCAAGGGCCCCACCTCCAATCAACATATGCATTTGGGAATTAAGTTTCCAATACATGAAATTTGGGGGATACATTCAAATCTTACATATTTTTATTTATAATTATATAAACTTGAGGGATAATACACTAAAATAGGACCCATAACTCTCTCTAGTTGGGAAGATCATGAATAGTTTTAACTTTCTACTTTCTAGCTACCCTTATTTGTTTTTGTCTTCATTTGTTTTAATAACAAGCATGTATTACTTTTACAATCTGGACAAACAATAAAGCTGGTTTTATTTTGAAACAAACAATCAAAACTCAAAATGAAACAAAACCTTCTCAGCATGTGCTGGTTTGGCTAAGCCATCAGCCTTGTCCCATCTGGAACACCAAGAGACTCTGAGGAAAAGTGTCCTCTCTGGGCATGTTCTGAAAGTTTGAGTTAGGAGAAGAGAGTGTAAAAATGAAGAATTGCTTTTATTGCACTACAGCCATGTGCTCCCTCCCACCCTGCTGAGCCTGGAAGATGATCAGGGCCATAAAGACTGGCTAATTACTTAAATTACCTCTTCTTTGTAGGAGCAGGCCTTCCCAGTGCCATTGACTGGGCTTATTTGGTCTGATGACTGGAGTCCTGCTGTTAGCTGGGATGAGGAAAGCGCATTATTACAGTGTGTAAGTGTAATGATTTTGTTTACATTTCACAAGGCAAACAGGGTGACTTGAAGTCTTATGTAACCTGGATTTCTACCAGAATCAGGGCTAGAAAACACGATACCTGCCTCTGTTTCCCATTTTGTTCTATTTGATCCTACTAACCCATAAACCAAAAACAAATATGAAACCACCCTACCCCTTAATATACAGCTTCTAAAAATTTTTGAAACAATTTTAAATTTATATAAAAGTTGTGAGTGTAGCACAAAGAACATTTACCCCCTGGACCACTTGAGATGAAATTGTCCACATGATTCTCCATCACTCCAAATACTTTAATATTTTCCGCAAAGAGGGGCATTCTCTTACATCATGAGGATACAACCACTAAAATTGGGAAATTAACACTGAAAATTGATTCCCATCCAAATTCAGATTTCTTCAGCTCTCCCATATAATGTCTCATAGCAAAAAAACCTGGTTCAGAAGTATGCATTGCATTAAGTAACTGAGTTTTTGATGACTGCATTGAAAACTTTCATCTCTTTAAAATCTGAGCAGTCCTTAGCCAGGCCTTCTTGTCTCCATCCCAGGAAGACTTCCTCCCTCTCCTGTACCACCCACAGGAAGATGCTATGGATGCTTGGTCTTGAGGTGCACAGATATAGGAAGAGTGCTAATGTTGCAAAAAAGAAGAGCAGGGTTGGCATGGGCATAGGGTGAAGACAGGAATGTGAGCCAGAGAATCCTCCCGTGATGGGATAGCACCCAGGAAATGTCAACTAAGCCCCATATAAAATTCTCCATCTCTGCCTTTTAATTTTTTACCTGTATCTCTTTTTGTCTTTGTTTTTCCTTTTCCTTCTACTTGCTTCTTTATGCCCTTCTCTTCATTTTCAAACTCTTACATCATTCTCCTATACTCTTCTGTTTTCTTATAAATTTATTTTATTTTTATTTTTATTTAATTGGAGTTTTGCTCTTGTTGCCCAGGCTGGAATGCAGTGGCATGATCTCAGCTCACCGCAACCTCCACCTCCTGGGTTCAAGTGATTCTCCTGCCTTAGCCTCCTGAATAGCTGGGATTACAGGCACCCACCACCATGCCCAGCTAACTTTTCGTATTTTTGTTAGAGATGGGGTTTCATCATTTTGGCCAAGCTGGTCTCAAACTCCTGACCTCAGGTGATCCACCTGCCTTGGCTTCCCAAAGTGCAGGGATTACAGGCATGAGCCACCATGCCTGTCCTCCATTTACCATAGCTACATACAAAAAATTTACCTAGGAATACATCTAACCAAGGAAGTGGAAGTTCTCTACAAGGAGAACTACAAAACATGGCTGAAATAAATCATAGGTGCCACAAACAAGTGGAAAAGCATTCCAAGTTCATGGATTAGAATTAATGTCTTTCTTTTTTTTGGCGGTGGGGTGGGGGACAAAGTCTCGCTCTGTCACCCAAGCCTCTCCCTCCCAGGTTTAGTTGATTCTCATGTTTCTTGAGTTGCTGGGATTGCAGGTATGCACCACCACACCCAGATAATTTTTGTATTTTTAGTAGAGATGAGGTTTCACAATGTTGGCCAGCCTGATCTCGAACTCCTGAGCTCAAGTGGTCTGCATGCCTTAGCCTCCCAAACTGCTGAGATTATAGGCATGCGCCACCATGCCCAGCCAGCAAACTGATTTTTGATAAAGGTGCCAACAACCCACAATGGGGGAAAGACAATCTTTTTAATAAATGATGTTGGGAAAACTGGATAGCTTAAATGTAAGCCCCCAAAACTCTGACATTGTTAGAAGAAAACATAGGGTGAAAGCTCTGTGACATTGATCTGGGCGATAATTTTCCACAAAAGCACAGACAACAAAAGCAAAAACTGGACAAATAGGATTACGTCAAACTTAAGAGCTTTTGCACAGCAAAGGAAACGATGGAGTTAAGAGACAACTCACAGGAGTACATATTTGCAAACTATATATTTCAGTGTTTTTTTTTTTTGAGATGGAGTTTCATTCTTGCCCCCAGGCTGGAGTGCAGTGGCTTGATCTCAGCTCACTGCAACGTCCACCTCTCTGGTTCAAGTGATTCTTCTGCCTCAGCCTCTCCAGTAGCTGGGATTACAGGCGGGTGCCACCACACCAAGCTAATTTTTGGATTTTTAGTAGAGACAGGGTTTCACCATGTTGGCCAGGCTGGTCTCAAACTCCTGACTTCAGGTGATCCCCTTGCCTCGGCCTCTCCAAGTGCTAGGATTACATGCATGAACCACTGCGCCCAGCCAAACTATACATTTCATAAGAGATTAATGTCCAAAATGCATAGGCACTGAAGCAACTCAATAGAAAAACAGATAACCTGATTTTTAAAATTGGCAAATGATCTGATAGACATTTGGCAAAAGAAGATATATGAAGGGCCAACACATAGATGAAAAAAATGCTCAACATCACTAATCATCAGATCACTTCTTGGCCTTTTGGCTAAGATCAAGTAATCATCAGAGAATGCAAATCAAAACCACAATGAGCTATCATCTCCAGCTAGAAGGACTTTTATCAAAAAGACAAAAGATAACAAGCAATGAAAAGGATGTGGAAAAGGGATTCCTTACGTAGTATGGGTAGGAATATGAATCAATATAGCCATTATGAAAAAAATTATGGAGGTTCCTAAAAAAATAAAAACAGTACTATGTTTTAACATAGTATGATCTAACAATTCCACTACTGGGTAAATAACCAGAGGAAATCAATATGTTAAACAGATATCTGCTTTCCTATGTTTACATAGGAACATAGCAACACTATTCACAATAGCCAATATATGCAATCAGTCTAAGTGTCTATCAACAGATGAATGGATAAACAGAATGTGCTATATATATACAATGGAATACTACTCAGCCATTAAAAAACATTGAAATACCGTCGTTTATGACAATTAAAAGGGAAATGAAACTTAAAAAAACAAAAAACAAAATGTGTGTCTTATGAAGGCATTGTAGACTTTATTTTTTGTAGTTCCACATTTATGTCTGTTCTAACTCTGCTCCTCAGGCTCTGTAGGTGTGTGTTTCTTAGAATATTCTGTCCTGTCTTGCTTGCTTTTAACACTCACTGTCATAATGCTCTCCATCACTCCCATAATTTCAACTCTGTGAATGATTCCCAAATGTATCTCCTTCAAACTGACATCTGTTTGAGCTCCAGGATTGCATTTCCAGGTGCCTGTCAGATACCTTAAACTCCACCAAACTTGTTAGTAATATTTTATACCTTCCTTAGAGCAGCTCAGTCTACTGACTTCTGATGTGAAAACTCATGATTTTTTTACTCCTTCCTCTCTTTTACCTTGCCCTTCCAAGCTTTAGTAATTGTCAGGTATTTCTTTGAAATGTTATTTTTATCTTCTTTTGTTCATTCCCACATCATTTGCTTCTGCAGCATTTAATAAACACATATTAATTTTTCTATTTCTCTTTTAGTACTTTTTCATTTTTAATTAATTTTAGTAGCTTTGTGGAGATACAGTTTACATGCACAAAATTCACCCAAGATAATGCAGTTTAATTATTTTTGTAAATGTAGGAAGTGATACAACAGCCATCAATACCATCTAGTTTTGTGACATTTTCTTTAACTCATAAAATGCTCTTGTATCCATTTGCAGTTCTTTCTTATGCTCACCTTCGGCCTCAGGTAACCACTGATCTGCTTTTTATTTCTATGGATTTGCTTTTTCTAGAAATTTTATATAAATGGAACTGTGTAGTATATAGCTTTCTGTGTCTGGCTTTTTTCATTTAGCGTAATGTGTTTGATGCTTATTCATATGGACATATCAGTAGTTTGTTTCTTTTGCTGAGCAGCATTCCATTGTACAGATCTACTACGTTTACTTTATCCACCAGTTAATGGACATTTGAATTATTTTCAGTTTGTGCTTATTATGAATAATGTGGCTTCAAACACTCCTGTGTAAGTTTTTTGGTACACATAAACTTTCATTTCTCTTCAAAGATACTTAGGAGTGAAACTGATGGATCGTTCCTTAAGTATAGGTTTAACTTTTTAACACACTTCCAAACTATTTTCCAAAGTGACTATGCCATTTTAAAATCTTACCAGCATATACTTATTAATACTTGGTATTGTCAATCTCTTAATGATAGGCATTTTCATGTTAATGGACTGAGTGTATGTTATTGTGGTTTTAGTTGCATTTCCCTAATGATTAATTACTTTGAACATTTTTCATGTGTTTATTGGTCATTCATATATTTTATTTGTTTTAAATATATATATATATTTTTATTGTACTTTAGATTCTGGGGTACATGTGCAGATCATATAGAATTGTTGCATAGGTACATACATGGCAATGTGGTTTGCTGACTCCATCCCCCTGTCACCTATATCTGACATTTCTCCCCATGTTATCCCTCCCCAACCTCCCTACCTCCACTGTTCCTCCCCTAGTCCCCTGCAACAGACCCCAGTGTGTGATGCTCCTCTCCCTGTGTCCATGTGTTCTCATTGCTTGGTAGATTCGGCTATTGAAACTTGTGTATGCTTTGCCAAGTTCTCGTGTTTTACAGCTCCATCAGGTCGTTTATATTCTTCTCTAAGCTGTTTATTCTCATTAGCATTTCGTCTAACCTTTTTTCAAGGTTCTTAGTTTCTTTGCATTGGGTTAGAACATGTTCTTTTAGTTCAGATAAGTTTGTTATTACCCACCTTCTGAAGCCTGTTTCTGTCAATTCATCAGACTCATTCTCTATCCAGCTTTATTCCCTTCCTGGTGAGGAGTTGTGATCCCTTGGAGGAAGAGAGGCATTCTGGTTTTTGGTGTTTTCATCCTTTTTGCACTGTTTTTTTCCCATCTTTGTGGATTTATCTACCTGTGGTCTTTGTAGTTGGTGAGTTTTGGATGGGGTCTCTGAGTGGATATCCTTTTTGTTGATGCTGAAGTTACTTCTTTCTGTTTTTTAGTTTTCCTGCTAATACTCAGGCCTGTCTGCTATAGGCCTGCTGGAGGTCCACTCCGGGGCTGCACAACAGTAAGGGTTGCTGCCAGTTTCTTCTTCCGTTATCTTTGTCCTAGAAGGGTACCCACCAGATGTCAGCCTGAGCTCTCCTTTACGAGTGTCTCTTTGGATATACAGCTCTGCAAGGAGCTGCTTGCAGAGATAATCGGTCTCTTATAGAAGCTCAAGTGCTGAGCTGGGAACTCTGTTGTTGCATTTAGAGCTTCTGTGCAGATATGTTTAAGCCTGCTGCAGTGGAACTCATAAACGCCTTTTTCCCCAGGTGCTCTGTCCTGGGAAGGTGAGGCTTTATTTGTAAGTTTCTGACATGCTGCTGACTTTTTTCAGAGATGCCCTGCCCAGCAAGGTGGTAGTCCAGCCACAGTCTGCCAGCAGAGGCATTACTAAACTGTTGTGGGCTCTGCTCTGCTGCTGTGTAAACTTCCTGTTAGAACTGCCTCGGTAATGGTGGACTGCCTCAGTAAAGGCAGGTTGCCTCGGTAATGACAGACTGCCTCGGTAGTGGTGGACTGCCTCAGTAATGGCTGATGCCCTTCCCCCCACTGAGCTGGACTGTCCCGGGTACTTGTTGCAAAACAGCTGTACTTGTTGCAAAACTCTCAATCCAGAGTGTTTCAGGCTGGTTTTTTTAGGGGGTGGGTCCCACTAAGCCAGATCACCTAGCTCCCTATTTTAGCCCTTTTTTTTTTCAGTTGAATGGGCAGCTCTGTATCCCAGGCATTCCGGGCAACTGTTGAAACAGCCACCAGAATTTGTGCGAGTTTTTGTAGGGTGACCTGCAGCGCCGGCTGAAACAGCCATGCTGGAAACTTGTGGCACTTTTCAGTCCGGGAATCTCCTGGTCTGTGGGCAGTAAAAACTCGTTTGGAAATGTGGTGATCACTCACCCTCTGCATTCTTCTCGGTGGGAACTGCACTCTAGAGCTGTTCCTATTTGGCCATTTTGGATCTCCCTATTCATATATTTTCTTAGGTGATGTGTCTACTAAAATCCTTTACACTTTTTTAATTAGTTTCTAACTATTGAGCTATATAAATTCTTTGCACTATGTGTATATAAATCCTTGATCAAATAAATTATTTGCAAATATTTTCTCCAAGTGTAGGGTTTATCTTTTTATTTTCTTAATGCTGTCTTTTGAGGAACAGAAGTTTTAAATTTTGTTGAAGTATAATTTACCATAATTTCTTTTCTGAATCATATTTTTAATGTCAAATCTAAAAATCTTTTTTGCCTAATCCAAGGCCACAAAGTTTTTTCTTCTATCTTTTAAAGAAGTTTTATAGTTTTAGTTCTTATATTGAAGCTTATGGTTCATTTAAATTAATTTTTGTGAATATCTGCTGGTGGGGATGTAAATTAGTACAACCTCTGTAGAAAACAGTATGGAGATTTATTTAAAAACCAAAAGTAGAGCTACCATTTGATCCAACAATCCCACTTCTGAGTGTCGATATAAAAAAGGAAATAAGTCGTTATTAAAAAAAGACACCTGCATGCATATATTCATTACAGTACAATTCACAACTGCAAAGATATGGAACTAACATAAGTGCCCATTGACCAATAAGTGGATAAGGAAAATATGGTATTTATACACCATGAATACTACTCAACCATAAACAAGAATAAAATAATGTCTTCTGCAAGCAACTTTGATGAAGCTGGAGCCATAATTCTAAGTGAAGTAACTCAGGAATAGAAAGCAAAATGTTGTATATTCTCACTTATAAGTGGGAGCTAAGCCATGGGTGTGCAAAGATATACATGATATAATGGACTATGAAGACTTAGAATAGAGAGGGTAGGAGGGAGGGCAAATAATAAAAAGCTACGTATTGGATACAATGTACGCTGCTCAGGTGACAGGTACACTAAAATCTCAGACTTCACCACTATACAATTTATTCCATGCAACCACTTGTCCTTTAAAAGCTATTGAAATATATTTATTAAATAAAAATACAAATCAAAAATGCAAAAAATAATTTTTTAGTTCACTCTCATGCTGCTATTAAAGATGTATCCAAGATTATGTAATTTATAATGAAAAGAGGTTTAATTGATTCACAGTTCAGCATGGCTGTGGAGGCCTCAGAAAACTTACAGTTGTGGTGGAAGGGGAAATAAACATATCCTTTTTCACAAGGCAGGAGCAAGGAGAAGTGCCAAGCAGAAGTGGGAAGAGGACCTTATAAAACCATCAGATCTCATGAGAACTCACTCACTATCATGAGAACAACAGCATGAGGGTAACTGCCCCCATGTTTAAATTACCTCCTACCACCAGGTTCCTCCTATGACTCAAGGAGTTTTTGAGAAATAAAATTCAAGATGAAATTTGGGTGGGGACACAGCCAAACCATATCAATAAACATTATCTGAACAGAACTATCTTTTCTATAGGGATTACTTTGCCACCATTGTCGAAAATCACTTGCTCATAAATGTGAAGGTTTATTTTTGTACTCTCTATTCTATTCCATTGACCAGCATGTCTATCCTCATGGCCAGTACCACCCTGAATTGATTACTCTAGTTTTACAGTGAATTTTGAAATAAAGTAATGTAAACTGTGGTTCCCCTCCCCCGCCCCCCCAAATTTATATTGTCTAGTCTAGATCCTTTGCATTTTAATACATATTTTAGAATCAACTTGCTAATTTCTACAAAATCCTTACTGGGGTTTTGGTAGGGATTGCATTTGAATTTGTAGATAAATTTGGGTAGAACTGCCATCTCAATACTACTGTGTTTTCCAACCCAGGAACATAACATGTTTCTCCTTTTATTTAGATCTTCACAAAACATTGGAAGTTCTCAGTGTATGAGTCTTACACTTCTTTTGTTAGTATTTTCCCATGTCTTATTAATTTTTATTGTATTGTGAGTGCAATTTTTTCTTAGTATCATTTTAGATTGTTCATTGCTAGCATATAAAAATACAATTGATTTTTTTATATTGGTTTTATATCCTGCAACCTTCATAAACTTAGTCATTAGTTCTAGCATGTTTTTTAAAATAGATTCCATCAGATAGTCTACACACATTTTCTGTGATTAAGGACAATTTTATTTCTTTAGTCCCAGTCTGGATGCCTTTTATTATTTTTTCCTGGCCTATTCCTGGCTATAACTTTCAATCAAGTTTTCAATAGAAGTGGTAAGAATGGACATGCGTGTCTTATTTCTGATCTCCTGGGGTAAGATTTTAGTCTTTTACCATCAAATATTACATAGGTATAGGTTTCTTGAGAAAAGCTCTTTATAAAGTTGAAGAAGTTCTGCTTTTTCTACTTTATGGAAAGTTCTTTTTATTTTATCATGGATTTTGTTAAATGATTTTCCTGTATCTATTGAGATGATCTTTTTATTCTATTAATATGATATGTAACATTAATTTTTTGTCAGATTGAAACTAACCTTACTTTCCTGAGGTAATTCCCACTTTGTCATGGTGTGTATTTAAAAATACGTGTTTATGTATTCAGTTTGCTAGTATTATTTTTTAATGGTTTTTGCATCTATTTTTATGAGAGATTTTAGTCTATAGTTTTTCCTACTTCTGATGTCTTTGTTTTGTGTTGTTATCTGGGTAACAACTCATCAAATGAGTTGGGAAATATTTCCTCCTCACTTATTGGTATGGATTGAATTGTGCCCTCCTCCCTAAACTTATATGTTAAAATGCTAAGTGCCAGTACCTCAGAATGTGATCTTATTTGGAGATAAGGTTTTTTATAGAGATAATCAAGTTAAAATGAGGTCTTTAGGATGGGTCATAATCCAATAAAACTGGTGTTCTTATAAGAAGGGGAAATTTGGACACAGACACAAGTAGAGGGGAGACAATGTGAAGATGGGCAGAAGATGACTCTGCAAGCCAATGAAAGAGACCTGGAACAGACGCCCCCCCCACCCCGCCCAAGTCCTTGGAAGGAACCAACCTACCAATACCTTGCTTTTGGATGTGCAGCCTCTAGAACTGTGAGACAATAAATTTCTGTAGTTTAAGCCACATAGTGTGGTTCTTTGTTGTGGCAGCCATGATCAACAAATACACCTATTTTCTGCAGCGTTTGTATAGGATTGGCAAGATTTATTTCTTAAATATTGGATACAATTTACCAGTAAAGTCATCTGGGCCTAGACTTTTTTTTTTTGTGGGAAGATTTAAAATTACTAATGCAATTTCTTATTTGTTGTCTGTCATTCTCTTCAGATTTTAAATTTCTGATTGAGTCAGTTTTGGTAATTTTTGTCTTTCTAGGAATTTATACATTTAATCTGTGTTGTGTAATTTGCTAGCATAAAGCTGTTCGTAATAGTCCCTTAAAATCCTTTCTTTAGGGTCAGTAGTTACATTCTCTTCTCATTCCTGATTTTGGTAATTTATGTCTTCTTTTTTTCTGTGTTAGTCTTGCAAAAATTTTATCAATTTTATTTCTCTTTTCAAATAATTGGCTTTTGACTTTTTTCCCTATTGTTTTTATTTTATCGATTTGTATTCTGATCTCTATTATTTCCTTCCATTTACTTTGGGTTTAATTTGCCCTTCTCTTTCTCCGTTTTTGAAGTGAAAGCTTAAATTATGGATTATAGATCTTTCTTTCTTTTAAGTTAAGCATTTAAACTATAAACTTTCTTCTAGGCCTTGCATTAGCTACCCTCATACATTTCAGTGGTTTTGTTTTCATTCAGTTTGAAATATTTTCTAATTAATCTTATGATGTTTTCCTTGACCCATGGTTATTTAATAATTTATTAATTATTATTTTTATTATTTTTTTTAGATCGAGTTTTGCTCTTGTTGCCCAGGCAGGAGTGCAATGGTGTGATCTCAGCTCACTGCAACCCAGGTTCAAGTGATTCTCCTTCCTCAGCTTCCCAAGTATCTGGGATTACAGGCACCCACCACCAGGCCCAGCAAATTTTTATATTTTTAATGGAGATGGGGTTTCACAGATGGAGTCTCACTCTATCACCCGGGCTGGAGTTAAGTGATGTGATCTCAGCTCACTGAAACCTCTGTCTCCCAGATTCAAGCAATTCTCCTGCCTCCCTCAGCGTCCTGAGTAGCGTGGACCATAGGCGCATGCCATCCTGCCAGCTAATTTTTGTATTTTTAGTAGATACGGGATTTTGCCATTTTGGCCAGGCTGGTCTCAAACTCCTGATCTCAGGTGATCTACCCACCTCAGCTTCCAAAAGTGCTGTGATTACAGGTGTGAGCCACCACTCCCAGCCCCTATGGTTATTTAGAAGTATGCTTTTCAAATGATTGAGGGTTTACTAAATTTTTTTCTGTTAATTTTCAATTTAGTGCCATCACGGTTGGAGGACATATTTCAGATGACTTCAATCCTTTTAAGTTTATAGAGACTAGTTTTGTGACCCAGCAAAGGCTCTATCCTGGAAAATGTTCCATGTGGATGTGAAAGGATTGTGTACCCTGCTGTTGTGTGGGAGCATTCTGTATGTTAGTTGGGTAAAGTTGGTTGACAGTTGTGCAAGATTTATATATCCTTATTCATTTTATGTCTAGTCATTCTGTCAGTTACTTAGAGAGGGACTTGAAATTTCTGATTACAATTACTAAATTGCCCATTTCTCATTTCTGTTCTGTCAGCGTTTGTTGCATGTATGTGTTATTCAATGCCCTATGTCTTTATAATTGTTTTCTCTTTCTGATGTTTTGATGCTTTTATCATTATGAAATGTTCCTATTTATCCCTAGCAATATTACTTGTTTTAAATTCTATTTTTTTCTGATATTAACATAGCTACTTCAACACCCTTATGGTAACAGTTTGCATGATTTATATATATATTCTTCATTCTTTTTGTTTTCTTTCTTTCTTTCTTTTTTTTTTTTTGAGATGGAGTCTCTCTTTGTTTCCCTGGTTAGAGTGTACTGGTGTGATCTTGGCTCACTGCAACTTCTGCCTCCCAGGTTCAAGCGATTCTCTTGCCTCAGCCTCCTGAGTTGTTGGGATTACAGGTGTGCACCACCATGCCTGGCTAATTTTTGCATTTTTAGTGGAGATCGGGTTTCACCGTGTTGGCCAAGCTAGTCTTGAACTCTTGACCTCCAGCAATCTCCCCACCTCGTCCTCCCAAAGTGCTGGGATTACAGGCATGAGCTAGCCGTATTTTCCCCATTCTTTTACTTTGAAACGACTTGTCTTTGAATTAAAATTGCTTTTCTTGAAGACTGTTTATGTTGTCACGTGTCAGTTAATGATGGGGATATGTTTTGGAAATGTACCTTTCCAGAAACCTAGATGGTGTAGCCTACTACACGCCTAGGCTATATGGTATAACCTAGTGATCCTAGGCTACACACCTGCACAGCATGTTACTGTATTCAACACTGCAGGCAGTTGTAACATAATCAGTAAAAATATGATATAAAAGATAAAAAAATGTAACACCTGTATAGGGCACTGTAAGATCTTTCAGGCTGACTGATGGCACCATGGATGCCATATCCATGGTGAGGTTACTCTGTGACCTGCACAGACACTCCAGATGAGTTCCTGGAAAATCTGAAGTAATTGGAAAACCATGAAAAGAGAAAGAAATTATTAACCCCTTCAGAGCCTACTTAACTTTGAGACATTCTCTATCGTTCCTTATTCCCACCCCAATTGATAAGGCCATTGGACTTTGTAACCAACCTTGGTCAACCTCATGACTCCACACCCAACGGCCCCCTCCCAGCTTGCAAAGAACTGCCCTAAACTGTAACTTCTGTAACTTTCCATGCCCATGCCAAACCTATAAAACCAACTCCTATCCCACTGCCCTTCGCTGACTCTCTTTTTGGACTCAGCCCACCCACACCTGGGTGAATAAACAGCCATGTTGCTTACACAAAGCCTGTTTGGGGGGTCTCCTCATTCAGAGCATGTGTTTTAACACTTGCTGTGAATGGAGTTTGTAGGGCAGAAGTTGCTCTGAGTCAATGAGTGGATGGTGATTGAATGTGAAGGCCTTGGACGTTACTGTACCCTATTGCAGACTTCATACACACTATACACTTAGGCTACACCTACTTTGTTAAAAATAGTTTTCTTTCTTCAATAATAAAATAACCTTAGCATACTATAACTTTTCTACTTTAAACCCTTTTTAATATCTGAACTTTGACTTTTTTATAATGATATTTATCTTAAAGCACGTATTGCACAGCTCTACAACATATTTTCTTCTTTTATATCCTTATTCCATTTTTTCTATTTTTAAAATTTATAATTTTTTTCCTGCTTTTCAAACTTACTTGTTAAAAATGAAGTGACATGTGTCTAAGCCTCTACAGGGTCAGGATCATCAATATCAGTTTCCCACCTCCATATCTTGTCCCACTGGAAGGTCTTCAGGGGCAGTAACATGCATGGAGCTGTTACCTCCTATGATAGCAATACTTTCCTTGGGAATATCTCCTGAAGGACCTGCTTGAGACTGTTTTACAGTTAACTATTTTTTTTTTTTTATCCACTTATTTGATACAACTCCAGAGTTTTATTTTGGTGATCTAGAAAAACAAATGATGGGACTAGGAATAATGGGGAATGACATAGAGCCCACATTCTTCTCTTATAACTGTTTATGTTTCGGGAAAAAATTGTCCAGAAAAGAATTGGGCTTAGCAGTAGTACAGGTTGGCCCCATGCTGAAGATCCACACATCTGGCACCCAGTGTGCATCTCTACCTGGATCTCCTGGAGGAAAATCAAAACCAGCAGAGCCAAGACTAGTGTTATTTTTCCTTCAGAGTCTCCACGGCCTCTCAGTAGAATCTCCCAGCCATCTTACTCAGATCATTGGCAGATAGTCTCTATTTCACTCTCTCGCTTTTTTCCTCAGTTCTTTCAATAACTCTTTGGCTTCCACATCTGCTTCCAGTTGGCTTGGACTGTCACAGTTCTTCATCCAAATGGCTGGCAGCAGCCTCAAGAGCATCTCTACCTTATCTCACTGCTTTGTCTATTTCTTCCTACAAATGGTCACCATAGTGATGCTCTGATAATGAAAAACTAAATGTATCAGTGGCTCTTTTAAATGTTTTTCCATGCCTCTCAAAAGCTTTAATCCAGTCCAAACCCATCAGCATAGCAAGCCAAGGTCCCTGTGACCTGGATTTACCTATATCTTACCCAACTCCCCACCATTCCCTGGATTTACTGAAAAATGTACATTCCCTGAGTGTACATTCCACACTTTCCTTCATGCTGCCTAGACTCTGTATGGGCTTTTCCTTTTGCATGGAAAACCTCCCACCATGCGTTAATGCTATGCTTTCAACACTCAGCTCAAGTATCATTTCTTCAGGCCAGACTTCCTTCACCACCACCCCTCTCCAATTACCTTACTCTACTGGGTGCTCTTTCCTTGTGTTACCATAGTTTTTTTTTTTTTTTTTTTTTTAATTTTTTGTTGGATTTTAGGTTTTGGGGTACATGAGCAGAGCATGTAAGACAGTTGCGTAGGAACACACATGGCAGTGTGCTTTTCTTTCCTTCTCCCCTTCACCCACATTTGGCATTTCTCCCCAGGCTATCCCTCCCCACCTCCCCCTCCCACTGGCCCTCCCCTTTTCCCCCCAATAGACCCCAGTGTTTAGTACTCCCCTTTCTGTGTCCATGTGTTCTCATTTTTCATCACCCGCCTATGAGTGAGAATATGCGGTGTTTCATTTTCTGTTCTTGTGTCAGTTTGCTGAGGATGACGTTCTCCAGATTCATCCATGTCCCTACAAATGACACAAACTCATCATTTCTGATCGCTGCATGATATTCCATGGTGTATATGTGCCACATTGTCCCGCTCCAGTCTATTATCAATGGGCATTTGGGTTGATTCCAGGTCTTTGCTATTGTAAACAGTGCTGCAATGAACATTCGTGTACATGTGTCCTTATAGTAGAATGATTTATAGTCTTTTGGATATATATCCAGTAATGGGATTGCTGGGTCAAATGGAATTTCTATTTCTAAGGCCTTGAGGAATCACCACACTGTCTTCCACAATGGTTGAACTAATTTACACTCCCACCAACAGTGTAAAAGTGTTCCTTTTTCTCCACATCCTCTCCAGCATCTGTTGTCTCCAGATTTTTTAATGATCGCCATTCTAACTGGCGTGAGATGGTATCTCAATGTGGTTTTGATTTGCATCTCTCTGATGACCAGTGACGATGAGCATTTTTTTATATGATTGTTGGCCTCATATATGTCTTCTTTCGTAAAGTGTCTGTTCATATCCCTTGCCCACTTTTGAATGGGCTTGTTTGTTTTTTTCCTGTAAATCTGTTTGAGTTCTTTGTAAATTCTGGATATCAGCCCTTTGTCAGATGGGTAAACTGCAAACATTTTTTCCCATTCTGTTGGTTGCCGATCCACTCTAGTGACTGTTTCTTTTGCCGTGCAGAAGCTGTGGAGTTTGATTAGGTCCCATTTGTCTATTTTGGCTTTTGTTGCCAATGCTTTTGGTGTTTTGTTCATGAAGTCCTTGCCTACTCCTATGTCCTGGATAGTTTTGCCTAGATTTCCTTCTAGTGTTTTTATGGTGCCAGGTCTTATGTTTAAGTCTTGAATCCATCTGGAGTTAATTTTAGTGTAAGGTGTCAGGAAGGGGTCCAGTTTCTGCTTTCTGCACATGGCTAGCCAGTTTTCCCAACACCATTTGTTAAACAGGGAATCCTTTCCCCCTTGCTTGTTTTTGTCAGGTTTATCAAAGATTGTATAGTTGTAGATATGTTGTGTTGCCTCCGGTGCCTCTGTTTTGTTCCATTGGTCTATATCTCTGTTTTGGTACCAGTACCATGCTGTTTTGATTACTGTAGCCTTGTAGTATAGTTTGAAATCCGGTAGTGTGATGCCCCCCGCTGTGTTCTTTTTGCTTAGAATTGACTTGGCTATGCGGGCTCTCTTTTGGTTCCATATGAAGTTCATGGTGGTTTTTTCCAGTTCTGTGAAGAAAGTCAATGGTAGCTTGATGGGGATAGTGTTGATTCTGTAAATTACTTTGGGCAGTATAGCCATTTTCACGATATTAATTCTTCCTAACCATGAACATGGAATGTTTCTCCATCTGTTTGTGTCCTCTCTGATTTCGTTGAGCAGTGGTTTGTAGTTATCCTTGAAGAGGTCCCTTACGTTCCTTGTGAGTTGTATTCCAAGGTATTTTATTCTTTTTGTATCAATTGTGAATGGCAGTTCGCTCTTGATTTGGCTTTCTTTAAGTCTGTTATTGGTGTAGACAAATGCTTGTGATTTTTGTACATTGATTTTATATCCTGAGACTTTGCTGAAGTTGCTTATCAGTTTCAGGAGTTTTTGGGCTGAGGTGATGGGGTCTTCTAGGTACACTATCATGTCGTCTGCAAATAGAGACAATTTGGCTTCCTCCTTTCCTATTTGAATACCCTTTATTTCTTTTTCTTGCCTGATTGCTCTGGCTAGAACTTCCAGAACTATATTGAATAGGAGTGGTGAAAGAGGGCATCCTTGTCTAGTGCCAGATTTCAAAGGGAATGCTTCCAGTTTTTGCCCATTCAGTATGATATTGGCTGTTGGTTTGTCATAAATAGCTTTTATTACTTTGAGATACGTTCCATCGATACCGAGTTTATTGAGGGTTTTTAGCATAAAGGGCTGTTGAATTTTGTCAAATGCCTTCTCTGCGTCAATTGAGATAATCATGTGGTTTTTGTTTTTGGTTCTGATTATGTGGTGAATTACGTTGATAGACTTGCGTATGTTGAACCAGCCTTGCATCCCCGGGATGAATCCTACTTGATCATGGTGAATAAGTTTTTTGATTTGCTTTTGCATTTGGCTTGCCAATATTTTATTGAAGATTTTTGCATCTATGTTCATCATGGATATTGGCCTGAAGTTTTCTTTTCTTGTTGGGTCTCTGCCGGGTTTTGGTATCAGGATGATTTTGGTCTCGTAAAATGATATGGGAAGGATTCCCTCTTTTTGGATTGTTTGAAATAGTTTTAGAAGGAATGGTACCAGCTCCTCTGTGTGTGTCTGGTAGAATTCGGCTGTGAACCCGTCTGGACCTGGGCTTTTTTTGTGTGGTAGGCTCTTAATTGCTGCCTCGACTTCTGACCTTGTTATTGGTCTATTCATAGTTTCAGCTTCCTCCTGGTTTAGGCTTGGGAGGACACAGGAGTCCAGGAATTTATCCATTTCTTCCAGGTTTACTAGTTTATGTGCATAGAGTTGTTTGTAATATTCTCTGATGATGGTTTGAATTTCTGTGGAATCTGTGGTGATTTCCCCTTTATCATTTTTTATTGCATCTATTTGGTTGTTCTCTCTTTTATTTTTTATCAGTCTGGCTAGTGGTCGTTCTATTTTGTTGATCTTTTCAAAAAACCAGCTCTTGGATTTATTGATTTTTTTGAAGGGTTTTTCGTATCTCAATCTCCTTCATTTCAGCTCTGATCTTAGTTATTTCTTGTCTTCTGCTGGGTTTTGAGTTTTTTTGATCTTGCTCCTCTAGCTCTTTCAATTTTGATGATAGGGTGTCGATTTTGGATCTCTCCATTCTCCTCATATGGGCACTTATTGCTATATACTTTCCTCTAGAGACTGCTTTAAATGTGTCCCAGAGGTTCTGGCACGTTGTGTCTTCGTTCTCATTGGTTTCGAAGAACTTCTTTATTTCTGCCTTCATTTCATTGTTTACCCAGTCAACATTCAAGAGCCAGTTGTTCAGTTTCCATGAAGCTGTGCGGTTCTGGGTTGGTTTCTGCATTCTGAGTTCTAACTTGATTGCACTATGGTCTGAGAGGCTGTTTGTTATGATTTCAGTTATTTTGCATTTGTTGAGCAGTGCTTTACTTCCAATTATGTGGATATAGAGGGGTCAGGGAGCTGCTTGAGGAGACAGTCTGTACTTTTTTGGAGCTCAATTCCTGAGCTGTGAGCTCTGTTGTTCATTCAGGTCTGTTAGGCTGCTATGTTTGATTCTGCTGCAACAGAGCTCATTAATAAAACCCTTTTTTTCTCAAATGCTCTGTGTTGGGGGGTTCGGGCTTTATTTTTCGATGTCCGATGAGGTGTCCTGCCCAGCTAGAAGGCAGACTAGCCACTGTTTGGCTGCCGAGTCTCCGCCCTGCTGTTGTGTGATTCGCCCTGTTCCTGCAGGCTCTGCTGTGGTGTCCGCCACGCTCTGTGGCGGAGTCTCTTCATTGTAGCGTGTTGCCTCGGCAACGGCAGGCTGCGTCAGCAGTGGGTGTGTATCTCAGTAGGGACGGGTTGCCTCGGCAACGGCTGGCTGCGTCAGCAGTGGGCTTGTATCTCAGTTGGGCGGGTTGCCTCGGTAGTGGTGGACGCCCCTCCCCCACAGAGCGTCTCTGACCGTCTGCTCGGGATAGTTTGAAATCGCGGTTTTGTTCGTTCCACTGGGTGTCCCAAACGATCTGTCCCTGCAATCCCCTGGGCTGGCCTACTGTCCAAGTCTCGTTCAGTCTCAAGTCCAGCCCTCTCAAGTCTCAGGTTGCCGGTTCAACAGGGCACCCGGACAAGCGCGCCCTGTGGGGATTGCTGGGTAGGGCCGGCCGCCGCCGCCCTGGCTGCCGGCTTCGCGAGGCAGACCTACTGCCTGGCGTCCCATGTCTTTTTTATACTTGGGAGTTTCCCCGTTCTGTGGGCAACAAAGATCAGTCTGGAAATGCAACTCCGACTCACCGTTTGCGGATTCAACGAGAGCTCCAATCCTGGGTTGTTCTCACAGCACCATCTTGAGTCCTCCCCCAACTATTTTTTAAAGTAGATTTATACTCTAAAATAGCAACAACAAAAAAAGGTATAGTATGATATACACATAAACCAGTAGCATGCTCATTTATTGTCATTATCAAGTATTAGAGACTGCACTCTAATTATGTGGGCTACCTTATTTGACTAGTAGTAGAATTGTTTACACCAGCATCACCACAGTCTCATGAGTAATGCTTTGTGGTGCAACATTATGACAGCTATGGAATTACTTGGCAATAGAAAATTTTTAGCTTCTTTATAATCCTATGGGGCCACCATTCTACATGCAGCTTGTCATGGACTGAAATGTCATGATATAGTACATGACTGAGGCTTGAACTTGTTTTTTTTGTACAGGTTGATAATGACTGCCTTTTGATTGGTGTGTTTAATCCATTACATTTAATTATTGATATGATTGGATTTACACGTGCCACTTTATTTGTTTTTGTATGTCCCATGTCTTCTTTACCCTGTTCTCTTTTGCTGACTTCTCTTGTGTTAAACACATCTTATTTTTTTTTTTTATGTGTGAGACATTTTAAGGTCTAAGTTATTTTATTAACTATTTCAAAATTGAATTTTCTTAGTGGTTACTCTAGGGATTACAATATACATCTTATCACAATCTAGCTCAATACTGGGAATTTTGAAAAATGTAACAATTTTGTTTTAATAGCTCCATTTTCCATTCTTTGTGCCATGAATGCCATATTTATTATACCTATCTATGCCATAAATCCAACAGAACAGTGGTTTAGTTGTTGCCTTATGCAATCATAAAATATTGAAACATTTATTTTATATTAACAAATGTATGTATATGTCATATGTACTTATATATATATCTATAAATATATGTTTAAGCGAACATTTAAAACAAACTCATAATAAAAGAGAAAGAAGCTGTTCTGTCTTTTATGTTAATACACATATTTATCATTTCCATTGCTCTTCATTTCTTTCGGTGGATTCATTTTTGGTATCATTTTCTTTCAACCTGCAAGTCTTCCTTTAGTACTTCTTATGCAACAGTTCTGCTAGCTGCAGATTTTGTTTTTGTTCATCTTTCTTTTGAGGCAGAATATTTCTCTGTTGCCCAGGCTGGAGTGCAGTAGCATGATCTTGGCTCACCGCAACCTCCACCTCCAGAGTCCAAGTGATTCTCGTGCCTCAGCGTCCTGAGTAGCTGGGACCATCACCATGCCCGGCTAATTTTTGTATTTTTTGTAGAGTTGGGTTTCACCATGTTGGCCAGGCTGGTCTCAAACTCCTGAGCTCAAATGATCCACCCGCCTTGGCCTCCCAAAATGCCGGGATTACAGGTGTGAGCAGTCGCACCCAGCCTGTTTTTATATATCTTTCAGTGAATTTATTTTACCTTCATTTTTGAAAGATATTTTGCTGGACATATTGGTTGACAGTTTTTTTCTTTGAGTCTTTTGAATATGTTGTTCTACTGCCTTTTGATCTCCATTGATTCTGATAGAAACTCTGTTAAATACGTTGTTGTTCTTGTGTACATTGGAGTTATTTTTTTCTTACTGCATTCAAGATTTTTAAATTGCCTTTGGCTTTTGGCAATTTAACTATGATGTGCAAATCTCTTTGTGTTTTTCTTACTTAAGTTTGTTGGGCTCCTTGAACCTGCCGATTAATGTTTTTCAGCGTAGTTGGGAAGTTTTCAGGGCATTATTTCTTCAAAAAAATTTTTTTTAACTTTTTCCTCCTCTCCGCCCCTTCAGGACTCCTATTTTATGTATGTTGGTATGCTTGATGTTGTTCCAGAGGTGTCTGAGGCTCTGTTCATTTTTCTCCAATCTTTTTACTCTGTGTTCTTTAGAAAGGATAATTTTTTTTTTCTTCTTTAAAAAATTTTTTGAGATAGAGTTTTGCTCTTGTCACCCAGCCTGGAGTGCAGTGGCATGATCTCGGCTCACTGCAACCTCCACCTCCTGGGTTCAAGTGCTTCTCCTGCCTCAGCCTCCCAACTAGCTGGGATTACGGGTGCCTGCCACCACGCCTGGCTAATTTTTTATATTTTTAGTAGACATGGGGTTTCATCATGTTGGTCAGGCTGGTCTCGAACTCCTGACCTCAGGTGATTCACCCACCTTGGCCTCCCCAAGTGCAGGGATTACAGGTATGAGCCACCATGCCTGTCACAGAAAGGATAATTTCTACTGATCTATTTATATCTATAGATGTGAGTTGACAGAAGGAAATAATCAGTAAGTTCAGACTCCTGATGTTCTTGTATGACATTTGAGCAGGTTTCACGAATAGAACGTTTTTTGTTTATTATTTGTTTTTGGTTGATTTCCAGTCCTAAAATACCTGTTTAAACAATTTTATACTTCTTTTTAAATTAAATGCCTCATAAATTTGCATGTCATCCTCATGCAGGGGCTATGCCAAATTTCTCTGTATCATTCCAATTTTAGTACATGTGCTGCTGAAGTGAGCAAAACAATTTTATACTTTTATATTTGTTTTTGGGGGAGAGGATTGGTCCACCCTTTAGGCTACCCTAACTTGAAGTATGATCTCTGGTGTGTTTATAGTTTTTTTTTAAATGTTTATACTTGGAATTTTCATTTTGTATATTCAGTTGCTTGAGATAGGTATCTAACTTTATTTTTCTTCCTAATGAATAGGTAATTTACCAAACAACTTCTGGCTGATTGACTGCATACCCAGCTTCAGTCTGTTTGTATATATAATTTTTGGATGAAACTAATGTTTGAGTGTGTCTGTGTATGTTGGTGCAGCTGTGGAAGAAAACAAATGGCATGTGTGTCCTCAAAATAAAATGAATCACCTCAAAATATTAAGATAAGATGGAAGCATTTGTATGCAATGGATGAGATTAATCTGTGAAGACATCCCAGAAATTACCAGTGTTTAGACTATTATTTGTGATTGTATCGTGTCTGACTTTGAGCCATTTACGACTCTACATACTTGTTTTTACATCCCGTCTACATCTTTTCCTGTATCTAATCTTAGTCCAACATTTTGATTTTAGCTTTTCTGCTATTTTGATACACTTGGCAACAACGTGGGACCCTTATTTAAAAGTGCAAGTGCCCTTATAAAAGAGATCCCAGAAAGATTCCTCACCCCCTTTACCATGTGAAGACACAGAAAAAGACAGCCATCTGTGACCAGAAAGCAGACCCTCACCAGATACCAAATCTGCCAGTACTTTGACTTTGCACTTCCAGTCTCTAGGACCATAAGCAACTAATTTCTGCCTGTTTAGGAGCCACCCAGTCTATGGCATTTTCTTATAGCAGCTTGAGCAGACTAAAACAATGACTTGTATATAAGAAAAATCAATGTTTGGCAAGTTATTTTTGTGGCAATGACCCCTCACTCAAGGATATTTTGCAGATAATTGCGGAAGGATATAGGAACTCACCTCTGTCTGCAACAGTTCTGAAAAAAAGTCTCTTAAACATCGCAATTCAAAATGATGACTTTTCTTATTGAAGATGGCTCTTCCTTTCTAGAGCATCAAGAACTTTGCTTTATTCCTGGCAGCATGCACTGCTCATGGCAGCATGAGAAAAAGCAGAGTCTTGAGTATGAAGTAGAAAAAAGAAAAGAAGTCATGGCTCAGTTGGTAAGTCTGGGGCTTTTGGCAAATTCAACAGGAAGATGTGTCCTGAAAGAGAAATGGGCTTCATTTTAGGTAGGTAAGTATATCTCCATAGTAATTAGAGACAGAGTACATAAAGCACATCATATGACATAGGACTCAATAAATGGTAGTTACCAATATTGTTATAATCGTTATAATCATTATCTGATCATTATTTTGTGATATAGCTAAAAGGAAAAAATTTGAGAAAACCACCCACCCCTAAATGAAATGTTAGGGTGGAATCCCAACTCTGACAAGCCAAGGCCCAGATAGAACCATAATGCAAAGCCCCCGTATGTGGCAGTACTATGCTGAGAGGTTGGCCCTGCCTGGAAGCGTCACCTACATTGTCAGTGGCACCATCACTGTAGTTAGCTACCTCATGCTGGGGCGTTTTTCTATGGCGTACAGTAGGCCTGCTGAGAGAGTCTTTGATGCTATTTATTTGGGCTGATATGAGATCTATGGCTGCCTACATGGGCAACATTTCAGGGGTAGCACACAGGCTTTGAGATCTGGATCCAGCCCTACTCATCTCCTAGCTGTGTGAGCTTAGCAAGTTGCTTTATCCCTCAGAGATACATGTCTCTTATCTATAAAACAGGGATAATGATACTTTGCAGGGTTTTTGTGAAAATTGGAGATAATATGTAGTAAGTATTCAGTACACTACAAGTGCTACATAATGGTATTATTTAAACAGTTCAACAGCATCTATTAATGACCCCTATCTTGGAGGTTTTACTTGAGGATTAAAAGAAAACAATATATAAAGTACCTAGTACATAATAGGCCCTTAATAATTGGTAGACTTTTATGTAAATTTCAAGGAATTCAGTTTTCAAATGGACTTCTTTAAGTGTAATCCTCAATTTGTATTTAAGAGGCTTGGGTCTTGGATTTAGAGCTAATTAACTGGGTACTCTTAAGCAAATCACTCTGGGTCCTAGTTTCCTCACTCAAAAATTACATATTTGCACAAATGAGAAATAAGATGTCTTTTTTTAATAAATTGAAAAGGAAAGTTTTTTACACTTAGCAGAGAAGGAGCTTTGGAACACTAGGGAACATTTGAGAAGGAGGCTTAACACTACTAAGTTAGGGTCATTAAATTTTCAAAATGAATGAATTCATTACAAATAAGAGAGGAAGAAAAATAGTTTATGTGTAGCTGAGTTAATTCACTCAGACATATTTGCTGTGCACCTGAGCCTTGGAGGGAAGTCTTGTTCTGTGCTCTTCCAAGAGGGATTTTTGATGAAGTCTTACATGTTTTGCTTTCTTCTCACATCAAAACATTCCACATACTTTGAATTTAGATGCAGCCCTTCCTCCTGGTATTAAGTAAGCAGTGAATACATTGCCATCAGCCTTCTTTCTATCAATATGAGAGACCTACCTGCTGGGTTTTTTTTTTTTTAATTTTAATAACAAGAACACCTTTTTTTTTTTTTTTTTTTGCCAGCCAAAAGATTCAGCTTACCTTGAAAGAACCTTTCCTCTTAATTAAAAAGCTATTAATGACATACTCTGCAAAACATTTCTTTGAGTTAAATATTGGTGTTTGTGGGGGAGGGGTGTCGGGAGAGGTTGGTGAATGAGAAAGCTCTGCTTTGGGGATTTTGATACAAAAACTATTAAGGGATTATATGGTTGCCTCAGCCAGTGCATACATTTGTCATCATCCATTTATTTGTTCTGGTATGCTCAGTGCCTGGCACATAGTACAGGAAGCTACTAAAATGTTTGTCGAATTAGTAAATGAATATGAGAAATGTCTTTTCATCGTCTCCAATAAGGAAAATAGCATAAATAAACTTTAGTGTGTTTCTGGTAGATCCCATTGGAATAGCATTTACATGGGCAAGGCACCTGGGCTTTGGGAAATTGGGTTTAGGAGCAGTCGGGGAAGTGGGGAGACTAGCTTAGCACCTGATGGGACCTCTTCCTTCAGACAGAGGAAGGGATGGAGTAATGTAAGGAGGTTAACAACCCATTGCTGTGGGCTTAGCATTCAGTCTGCAGCCCAAATAAGACCTGTTGGCCTCCTCCAACTATAGTTGGGAATTGGGTGTGCCTGTGTGGGGAGGATGGGTAGGAATGGCTGAGCCTTGCCTGAGTTATTGGAAAGAAACAAAGGTTGCCCAAACAAAAATGCTGAGAATAAAAATGTGTTTATATGGTATGAAGCAGGTGAATGACCCTTACACTCACATTTGGTACTTGATGCCACTTTTCACGAATGATGACTTTTCATATTGAAGATGCCCCTTCCTTTCTAGAGGACCAAGAACTTTGCTTTATTCCTGGCAGCATGAAAAAAACAGAGTCCTGAGTCTAAAGTAGAAAACAAGTAGACTAGAAGTCATGGCTCAATTGGTAAGCTGTGGAGCTTTTGGCAAATTCTTTAACTCTCCAGGGCTCTGCTACAACATCTGTAAGGTGAGGTGTTTGGACTAGCGGATCTTTTTTATTCAGCAACATAAACTGTGCTGGGTGCCAGGCAGTGGGATCTAGAGTTGAGTCACACACAGTCCTGATTCACATTCTGGCTGATAAGAGCTGGAATTAAAAATACCAGTAGACACACAGGAAGGAATGATTCATTCTGTTTGCTAGGGCTTGGGAGCTAATATTTGAAAAGTAGGAATTCCCTAGAAATTGATTAATTTTGTCATCATTCATTCACTCATTCAACAAATGTTAACACTGTGGCAATTGTATACAAGGGTGCCTACTGTCTATGAAGGATGGGGGAAATAGTCATGAAGAAAGCAGACAAAATCTTTACTTTCTTTCAGTTTAATCTAAGCCAAAAGTGCTAGGGGAGGTTGGAAAAAGGTACTATTAATATTTAGCATTGAATCAATATTAATATTGCTTCATTTCACTCACCCAGTACATCCACAAAGAAGGCAGTACCTTCATTTTACAGTGAGAAACCTGAGGCCTAGAGGAGTGAAATCATTCACTGAGCTCATACTAAGTCATAAGGACTCAAGCCCACCTCTGCCTGTGTTCAGAGCTCCAGCATTTACCTGTATTACAATTTTATGGCAGAAGAGACTTCCTAGGCCACTGGGTGAGTGAATACTTGTTTCACCTTTCCAACACTCCTTCTCTGAGTAACAGTGCACCTATTGTCCTCTGGAGAGCTAAGCCCTCCTGCTCTCAATTCTCGTTCCTCTTCCCACAGGTGTCAGAGGCAAGGTCATGGGCCTAATGTATCAGACCACATCCTTCTAGGCACAGTGATTGGCCCACCCGGTGATGGGCACATGACCAAGCTGCACCAATTGGCATCAATGCGTGGACTCTTGCTGGAAATATTGGAAAAGGGTCTTGTTTGTTTCCCCTGGGATTGTTAAACTGTAGACCGTAAGCCTAGAGTAGTTGATGGCCATCTGAGAGAGACTGTAAGCCTACAGTAGCCTGATGTTTTCCAGAAGGGATGAGGGAGCCTGCCTGAAAATGAAGCTAATAGAGAAGTATATTAATTCGTTCTCACATTGCTATAAATAAATACCTAAGACTGGATAATTTATAAGAGAACAGATTTAATTGGCTCATGGTTCTTCAGGCTGTATAGGAAGCATAGCACCAGCATTAGCTTCTAGGGAGACCGCAGGAAACTTCCAATCATGGTGGAAGGTGAAAGGAGAGCAGGTGTGTCTCATGGTCTGAGCGGGAGGAAGAACAGAGACTTGGGAGGGAGGTTTTGTTGTAGGACTTTTTCCTTAGTTCAGCTAAGAGCAGGGTTCTTGTCACATGCCCATGAGAGATCAGGCTTGCAGACACTTTGAAAGGTGAGAAGAAATGGAATTTATTAGGCAAAAGGGAAAAAAAGCAAGACAGGGACCCTCCATAAAGCTGAATCCTGCTAGTGTGCTTCCTGCCTCGCAGACTGAATCCCAGGTTTCACCCAGGAAGAAGAGAGGCTGGGCTCCTCCCTGCTGAAAACAGCGCGAACTTCCCAAGGCTCCACCCCAGTGCATACTCCTTCCAGTGTGCAGGCCACTTGGAGTTTCTCTTGGGACTCCTTTACACTTGGCTGTCTCAGTTTCACACACTTTTAAATGACCAGATCTCTCAAGAACTTGCTCATTGTTGTGAGGACGGCACCAAGGGGATGGTGCCAAACAATTCACGAGAAATTTGCCCCCAAGATTTAATGCCCTACCTCCAGCATTGGGTATTGCAATTCAATATGAGATCTGGGTGGTGACACACGTGCAAATCATATCAAGAGGAAAGCAGAATCAGAGCAACAATTTCCAGAAAACATTGGATCTAATTTTGCCTGAAATGGGCACTTATTCCTATGCTTCCAGTTCTGTGAGCTAATACATTATTCTTTTTCCTTTTAAGATGTCTGGGTTATTGTTACTTGAAACCAAGCATGTGGAAGAATATAGCCTCCAAGAGAGTGCAGAGAATGTTTATTTCTCTTTCTCCCTGCAAAAGTCGGTACCCTCAAAAGTCTCTATCAACTTTCCTTAAACTTTCCTTTGTCAAGGTAAACAGTGCATGATTTTTTGCTCTGCTGTGTCTCAGAACTCTGTCCCCAGGGTCATATTCTGTACACCTGGTGATGCCAGACTTCACATGCTCAAGTATGGATTGGGCAGCTTCCTGATTGAATGTTAACCAACATCTCTCCCTCTGTCCTCTCCAGGGCCTCTGCTATCCAGTTCTGGCTCCTTTTCTCAGGATACAGTTTATCTGAGGTCATGCTGTGGCCCTAGACAAGCATTGAGGATGTCATGTTCAGAGTCTGTGTGACCTGCTCAGCAGCATAAATGAAGGCTGAGGATGACCGGTCCTCATTTCCAGTAATGTTTCTTCCAGACTCAGATTCCCAGAATCTCCCCTTTGGATAGCCTGCCGGATGTAGCCTCATCTTTATAAGCTCAGAGTCAAAGGAGCCCTTAACTATCTTTTTATTAGGAATGAGAGAGGTTGTCGGATGCTGCATTTGACCTTACCTAGCCTCACCATCTGTCTCACTGCTAACACTGGGACCCAGTCTGATTGTTCTGTTTTTTTTCTTTAGAGTTCCCTCCTCCAGGGTTATAAGAACTCATTTATTCAAGGGAATGGGGTGACTCTTCTCTTCCTGTTCATGTTTCCCAACTGCTCCCAGGCAAGCTAGCATCTGAATTGCTAGGTATACCATTGTTGTATGCGAACAGGAGATGTCCTCTTTCCCATAACCAGAGCAAAATGATAGGTGTTTTCACTGCATTGGGTCTTTAAGTTTTGCCCAAGAAACTATCCACTTGGGTTTGGGCAATGGATAGTTGGGTTATGGCCTATGGAGTCTGAACCAGATAATTCTCTGAGGTGCAAGGAGTCCTGCCTGTATTGACTAGCACAGCTTATGCAGAGCCTCCTCCTTGACCTTGGATGGTTTGGCATCCTCCTCCTCACCATCAGAAGGGATCTTCCTCTTCAAGCCAAGTTTGGGGTTGAAGATTGTAGCAAGTGCTTTATGATGGGACATCTACAGTCATGTGTTGGAGGCTCTTAAGTGTATAGCTCTCAGTAATAGAATCATCAGCCTCAATATGTAAGCAGAGACTTTTAATCTACCTTCAGAAAGTATTGGGTATCTAAACTGCACAGCCTGGAGAACTGAGGCATTTGTCCCCCAAAGACAAAGCACTGTTTGACTTGAGGACATGAGTGAGTTACACATAGGTCTCTATGATGTTCTCTCCATCAGCCATCTCTTTCCACCTTGATCCCTGCCTGTGTGGTCCTTGAACCAGGGATGAACTTTTCTTGTTGCTGCATAAGCATTCTCTGAGACCAATCTCAGCTCTTGCTAAGAAAGAGCTTTGTGAAACGCCATTGACAACAAATCCAATGCGTCTGAGGCCATGAGTTTGAGCTCTAGCAGGGATCCTTGCCAACATTCGGTCTTGACCAACGCCTCTAAAATAAGTTCACTCTAGAAGTCTGACATCATTTTAAAGAATGAAGCCATTTTTTTTTCCAGAAATGCTGTGTAGAAGGTAGCTTGCAGATCAAATTCCATAATGCTTGGGAGGGAAGTCTGAACAGAAGATCAGATTAAAAGAGGGTCAGTGAGTCCTAGAAAGAAGGAATCCAGCATGATAGGCCATATTCTTTAGTAGAGCTTGATAATCGTGAGGAAGGACACAACTTTTTCTCTGCCCTCTTAATGTTGTGACTGAGAGATATGAACTAAGCTGACAAAAGACAGATTAATAAGGGAAAAATCATTTAAGTTTTATTTGATGTTAATATTTGCATGTGGCACAGGAAGGGGGCCTTCATAGAAAAAAAGTGAAAAACGCAAGGAAGTGGTGAGACTTGGGGGCTTATGTACCATTATAACAAAAGGCAATAAATTGTGGGGAAGTGACTAGACAAAAGGGATTTGGGCTTCTAAGGGTGGTAATTGAGGGAAAGAAACTGGGAAATATATGGGGGAGACTAATGGACAATAAGGGTTATTTTTGTAAGGTTTATTTGTGCAGACTCGTGTCAGAGTTGACTTCTCATCTCCAGTGATAAGAATGCTTTCTTTTCCTAGTATTAGAAAGACCAATACCTCATAGAGAATTTATACCCTGCTTTCAGGTAGAAAGGAGGAGGGCAGAGATATCTCTTCCTGCATTTGCTGTTTCTTAATTGCCTTTACCTGAAAATGGCATATTTTGGGATGGCATGTTCTAATCTTCAGTTCCAAGAATAGCATTCTGACACCTACCCTGAAACAAGCTATGGGAAAAACCTTTCTGAGGCCTGAAAGTTCTGTTATGCTGGATCCCAGCACACCATAATATTTAAGATGTTGTGCATCCTTCCTAAGTGAGTTAGAAAGGATATAATAATTAGGTAGATTTTCCTTTCCAACAGGCACTATTGAAACCCTCTGAGACTAGTGACATAGCTCTGCCCCCTTGACTGGGACCCAAGCCCGTGTGGGTAGCAGCCTCTGTGCAGAGAGGAACAAGGCTGCAGAGTGGTACCTCCACAGCAACACAGACTCAGGGTGAGAGGTAGCCAAGATTCCCTCTTGGCACACGTAAGACACATCCACATATTCCCAGGAATATGTGGAGCAGAGGAAAAAAAAATTGAGAATAGAAATTCTTGACTGGGCCAATAGATGCGTAGGCCTAGGGAGTTTCAGGCATCAATCAATATTCATGTGATCACATTCGACTCACCCTGGAGAGGCTAAGGAGCATCTGGTCTCGTGGTGGTTGGGGAGGATGTCTTGTGAGGAAGCTGTTAATTCTCTGCAAAGTGTGAATTTGCACCAGTCTAAGATGCAAATTATTTCTCTCCCTGCCTTTCTCCTTTGCATCATTCTCAGTGCCCCCTGGCACTGAAAGTATGGTGGAAGGGAGTGGAAAAGAACTGTGCTGAGCTCACTTGCTCTTGGGGGCGGGCCTGCTTACAGTCAAGGTAGGGAATTTCTACCAAGGCTCTAAGCCGTAGGCGATAATAGAGTTCTAGAGGTGTTTGGTAGCAGAGCATTTAAGGAACCAGAAGGAAAAGGACCCTGCAGTAAAAGTCAGGGGTGCTCTAATTTATCTCTAAAAGCCGCAAAGCCTCCATTACTAACTTCTCTACCAAGGCCTAAAAGACCTCTGTTAAAATGCAAATAGATTTGCTAAGGACTTTCCCTGAAGCCGTTACAAACAATTAATGCCTTAGTTGCCCATCCTTTTTATTTTTTAAGGTAGGAATACCCTAGGGAGATAGGACTTAAGGCAGCTAAATTTTGATGGGAGAGGGTGAGAACCTGATCTACACTTGGGTGGAGCTAGGCACATAGACACATCACAGGAGCTGGCAGTAGTGTGAGAGGCTAACTTTTGAGAAAGGAAAGAGAATGGCTTTATTTTTCTTTTCCTTTTTTTTTTTTTTTGAGAAACGTTCTTGCTCTTTTGCCCAGGTTGAAGTGTAGTGGCATGATCATAGCTCATTGCATCATCAAACTCCTGAGCTCAAATAATTCTCTTGCCTCCTGCCTCAGCCTCCCAAGTAGCTGGGACTAAGAGGATATACCACCATGCAGGGCTAATTATTATTAGGATTTGTAGAGGCGAGGTCTTGCTGTGTTGCCCAGGCTGGTCTTGAACTCCTGTCCTCAAGTCACCTTCCCACCTTGGCATCCCAAAGTGCTGGGATTTACAGGCATGGAGCCCTTACGCCTGCCTGAGACGTGGAAGAAAGGTGAAGCAAGAACTTCAGACCAATTTGACCAGTTTTTAGTTTCACTTGGGGTTGACATTGTCCATATTACTTAGCACCAGCCTTTCTCAAGGCGTGACTGACTCACTCAGAGTCCCATTTTCCCTTTGGAAATAGACATTTTCAAGAGCATTGCAATTACAAGCCACACATGACCAAGCTCTCTGTCCAAGAAAAGACCATCCCTACAACCCCTGATGCCAACACCTATCCTTTGGCACCTTTAGATTAATGAGCTTTGTTTAGACATTCTCAGATGGGTTTTTGCCTCCCTAACTGCGTGATTTTTTAGCTTTAAACAGCTGTTCCTTCAAAGGACCTTCACATAGAGTCTCTGGCCTGCTAACCCAATTGCAGCAAGGCAATGTATTGTAGGCATACTTCACTTCATAAACAATTAATATGAGACATGTTGGTCTTTCAGCCCGGAATTATTTTCAGACTCAAATCTTATAAATTTTGACCCTCCTTTGAGTTTTCTGAGCCCCTAAGTGGTTTCCATGCAGATTCATAGCACCTAACAGTGATCGGTGACACTGCAGGGTGTATTTGTGAAAGTCCTATTTAGTCATTGGGGTAATTTTGATTGTTTCTACAACTGGAAGATTTCTGGAAGAAAAGTTCAGTGAGTTTCAGACATTCCTAGCTGACATCTTTTTTTCTGATCTCAAGACATCTAAATTGATCTTCCGATTGCCTCTTAATTTTACAGAGGCATATAAAGTGTTTCATGCCTAAAGCTGGCATATTAATTTTACATCAAATTTATAATAGGGTTATTATGTGCTATATAACATTTTAGAGAACAGTGGAGTCCCGTGGATGATCAATATGTTAGGTTCGTTTCTGACAGTTTTATAGGGATAGAAGCATAATTTTGTGCTTTAATATTGTAGACATTTACATTTAGTTCGTTGTATATTGCTGGTCATGTCTGTAATTTACTTGATGCCAGTTTCTTGGCCAGTGCTCTACCTCAGTCCCTTTCCTCCAGATCAGACTCTCCTGAATCTGGATGCATCTTGCTTTCTAGTGTTAAGGTGAAATTAATTAGGGGTTTCCTAAATAATCAGTCCAAATTGAAATTCCTTGAAATATGTGAGTATGAGTACATTTTAGACAATGGAACCCAAGAAGCCAAGGGTTTTGCAGCCCTCTCAGTGTTATAGAGCATGAACAGATTCTTAAAATGCATCTCAACCCCCAGCCTTGGAAATTCATCTCTGTGCCCAGAGGTGCACCACAGGGAGAAGGCTGTGGCTCATCCCGACTGCCACTTTTGGGTTGGCACAGGCCTCCACGTCTGCCACCTTACTGTCCCTGGGCTGCTTCTGTCCTTTGGCTTGGCTTTACCTATTCTTATTTAAAACAGCTGGTGGGTGTATGCTTGCAAGAAGGAGCAAACCAGCAGGCTTGTCTGAAACCTTAAAATTAAAATAAATCCATTCCCGAATGTAGGCTGTTTTCTGTTTTGCTTCTGCCTTATTTTCTCATCATATGACATCAACAGGGATCCATTTTTATAAGATGGGAGCAGTAAGAATCCTTTGTTCATCCCTGAATCAGGTTGAGTCTTGAAGTTCCCTGGAAATATTGATGCCATCCCTGAATATGTTAGCCCTGGGATTTCATGGCAGCCGGTAGCAGATATGAAATGGTGGAAGCTCTCTGGAGATGAAATTAGGGATTGATGTGTAGCAGTGCAGAAGAGTGCCAAAATAGGCCCTTCTTTTCCTTGAAGATTGGTTTGACACAAGGTGATTTTTATGGTGCCAGAAACCACATGCTAGGCTGTAATTGAGCATAATTATTACTCTGCATGCTGCAAAGTGCTGGACTTGAGGCATCCTACAGAATCCCATTAATTTCTTGATTGGACTCTGAAAAACGGTGCCCCCCACAGGGCCAGAGAGAGCTGTGCTTAGTCTGTCTGGTCTTCAAATGAAGAAGTCACTGGCTGTCCAGTTGGCTGATGTTTCACCCTAACTCTGGGGCCTCCATCTGTAATCCAGGACTCCACTGTCAACACACTTGCTTAGAATTCTGCTATGGTATCATCTCAGCCTCGCAATGTTTCCACATAGGAAAACTGAAATGGACAATGGAAGAATTCATATGAATAATTCAAACACACACCTAAAATATGCCCAGAATACAAAATAAGCCATTTGTAATTATCTGGTTATTTTAAGTGAGAGGTTTGAAAAAAGGCTAAATTATTTGGGTAATTGCCTTTTCCTTTTGATCTGACACATATAATGACCCAAACTTCAGCTATGCTACCTAGAAGCTCTCAGGAATGTAGGATTCTGCCTCTTCCCCCTGGCATTATGTAGTAGACTATGTGGGAATGTGTCTGCCCACTCCTAAATATCCTCCAAGCTTAGGTATATTTTCTAAAGACAACTTAAGTGTGCTAAAATGGTTTCAATTGTTCATTGTTAAAATATCTTTCGAAAATGTTTGTGTCTTGTGTCCTGCCTTCATAAATACAATCTGTGCAGCAGAAATTAATTTTTGCTGATTAAATTTGTCCAGCCTTTCCAGTGTCTTTGTCTTGATCATTAAATCTCACTGTTCAGTGTGTCATTGTGAAAAGAAGTCAAAACTGGGATGAATGCTCACTGACCCCAGTACTGTTTTTGGAAGAGGCACATTTTAAACGATCAAGGCTAGATACTAGATTTTGTTTTCTCTTGACTTCTCTTTTCTCTTAATAGAAACAATGCCAAGTATCCAGTTAACCAAAGGTTTCTATTATGTGCATTCAGTGAATTTAAATGCTGCTGAATTTTAGGTGGTCTGGAAAAGTCAAATGGCTGTCGTGACTCCAGTGTCTTCTACAGCAGGAAATTTCCTATGACTTTCTCAGGAAGCCTCACTTCTTACTACCTCTGGTGGAGGTTAGGGAAGAATTTCTTCTTGCCATCTTGCAAAGATGGCAACCATGTCTGCCATGCTATGGATTCAATAGGCTATCAAATCATTTTTATGGAAAACATATTTGGAGTTCCAGCTCTGAATTTGGAAAACTGGGAACCCATCTCTGTCCCAGCTTCTCGATGTGGATAGCAAGAAAAGGTTCCAGTGTTTTCCCCATCACCCATGCCCTACCTTCACCCCCCACCTTGCATATTGCAGAACTGTACGTATAGTGGTTGATCATGTCATGAAGGAGGCTGCTAGTCTCTATTTAGTGTCCAAGTCCTCTTCCTCTGTGAGTAAGTATACATGCTAGAAATCTTTTCTTCTATCATATTATTGGTGTTTAACACTATTTGTGGTGACATTTATTTAGAGATGGAATCTCACTCTGTAACCCAGGCTGGAGTGCAGTGGTGAGAGCTCGGCTTGCTGCAACCTCTGCCTCCCAGGTTCAAGCAATTGTCCTGCCTCTGCCTCCCAAGTATCTGAGACTACAGGTGTTGGCCAACACACCCAGCTGATTTTTTTTTTTTTTTGTATTTTTAGTAGAGACAGGGTTTCACCATGTTGGCCAGGATGGTCTTGATCTCTTGACCTTGTGATCGACCCACCTCAGCCTCCCAAAGTGCTGGGATTATAGGTGTGAGCCACTGTGTCTGGCACTGACTTTTATTATATAGCAGTTTAAAAATATTATGAAGGGCCAGGTGCGGTGGCTCACACCTGTAATCCCAGCACTTTGGGAGGCTGAAGTGGGTGGATCATGAGGTCAAGAGATCGAGACCATCCTGGTCAACTTAATGAAACCTCGTCTCTACCAAAAATACAAAAAATTAGCTGGGCATGGTGGCACGTGACTGTAATCCCAGCTACTCAGGAGGCTGAGGCAGGAGAATTGCCTGAACCCAGGAGGTGGAGATTGCGGTGAGCCAAGATTGCGCCATTGCACTCCAGCCTGGGTAACAAGAGCAAAACTCCGTCTCAAAAAAATATATATATTTTAAAAAAGGGATAAAAATTGTTTCTGTCTGTATTTGTTTTCTATTGCTATTTCTATTTTATAACCAATTGCCAGCACAAGCTCAGCGGATTAAAACAACATACATATAGTACTCACAGTTACCCTGGACCAGGAGTCTGAGCACAGCTCAGATCTTCTGTACGGTGTCTTACAGGGCTCCAATCCAGGCGTTAGCTGGGGCTAGGGTCTCATCTGAGGCTTGAGATCCTCTTCCAAGCTCCCATGGCAGAATTCATTTCCTAGAAGCTGTGAAACTCATGGTGTTTGCTTCTTCAAGGCCAGTAGGAGTGTCTTTGAGGCTCTGAGTCTCTCTCACCTCTAGATCCTCTTCTAAGGAGTCACCTGATTAGGTCAGATCTCCCAGGGTAATTTTCCTTTTGATGTCTGAAATGCGATGATTAGTGACCTTAATTACATCTGTAAAAATCCTTTCATATTTTCCATTTAATATAACATCATCATAGCAATGACAATCATATTCGCAGGTCACAGTCATACTCAAGGAGAGGAGATAATATGGGTCTTATACACCAGGTGTTGGGGATTTGGGGTTCATCTTAGAATTCTGCTACCACACTGCTTTTTAAATAGTACTGTTTTAAAAATTGCTTTATTTTCTAAGAAGGCTTAGAATTTTAATAAATATATATGATGTCAAGTAGGTACAAGAACTTCTATTATAACATGATAAAGTTTTTCTGAAAACCTTCATATTCTACAAAAGCACACACTAAAAATCACAGGGTTATGGGAAAATCAAAGTTAAGGAAAGACCACTCAAAACCTAAGCTACTTTGTAACCAGAGCACTAAAAAGACAATAAGAATCCTAATAAAGCTACTAGCACAGTTTAAAATACCGTTTAAATGCTCAATAAATAATGATATATTGTGGCGTATATAGAATTCTACCTAACAGAGAAAAAACTGAGCATAGCTTAATGGTTGAAGAGTTAAAAAAAAAAAATGGAGACTGCTAAGTACAGGAATAATGGAAAATGTGCAAAGATTGGAGAAGCCTCACCATGGGTATGTTACCAAACTAAGCCCAGAGAAAAATATACAGTGAAGTAGCACTGAATATAGAATTGCGTCCCTTTGCAGATTGTACATTCAGCTGTTTTAGCATATGTTGTGGTCAGCTGCTGTTCACGTTGCAAAAACTTTAATTTCTTGGAAACCCTTGAATACGAACATGACTTCACATTATATTGACCTGATTCCTTTATTTATCAATAGTGTATGAGCTAATTTGTATTACAGAAACTCATGTTGTAACTAAAGATACTGCCGTAATTAAAATTTGTCTTCCATTATTATATAACACTATTTATTGAATAGTCTATCATTTCTCCTCCAGTTGTTTTTTTGGGGGGGCTGGGTGGGTGGAGTCTCACTCTGTCACCCAGGTTGGAGTGCAGTGGTGAGATCTTGGCTTACTGCAACCCCTGCCTCTCAGGTTCAAGTGATTCTTCTGCCTCCGCCCTACCAGTAGCTGAGATTACAGGTGCCCACTACCACGCCTGGCTAATTTTTGTATTTTTAGTAGAGACAGGGTTTCACCATGTTAGCCACTGTGGTCTAGAACACCTGACCTCAGGTGATCCACCCACCTCGACCTCCCAAAGTGTTGGTATTACAGGCATGAGCCATCACGCCTGGCCCAGTCAAATAGTTTTACAAGACTTGTTACAAATGATAGCAGTCCTGTGTATCCACCACCATTTTCCTGCTCCCTGGGCAACCATTTCAATAATTTTACTTGATTCTTTTGGTATGTATCCTCATATTTCTACATGCTTATATTGCTGTTTCTTTTTCTTCTTCTTCCAGTTTGAGCCGTTATCTATTGACTTGCGGTTAGAGAAGATGAAGATTTAGCTCATGTTCACTCCTCTGCCTGGTATCTAAAACACTACCTCCTCACCACTCATTCTGCCATCCTCCCAATAGAACTCTATTGTAGTTTTGTTTGGTATGGCTTTTTGTAGTATTGACTTTGGTATGACTGTATAAATGCAAATCATAACCAGCTGGGGAAGTTGCCAGTGGTTATTTTTTCTTTCTTGCCCAACATCTTGTATTACCTAGAGTCATTATTATAAATAACAACTTTTTTTTTTGTTTTTTTCCATGTACATAGGAATACAGTCCTAAACTTTCCTCCAGGTAGGTAAATCTCTGGTTTATTTTTTTGTTTTACATTTCATGTGTTTAAAGTTTGCTTTGTCCATTAAAGAAGAGGCTGTAGATTAAAATTAGCAAATGATGATGTCATTCTTTTCACATCAAATTCTTTTGAATGACTAGGTGATATTTTGTATGGTCCATGTGTGCTTATTTAATTACAGTCACGTTTTCCAACACAAATTTGAAGTGACTTGCTATTTAATTATTACAAGCTTACAGTTTAGAAGGATTTATCCAATGTGAAAATCACAAAGAAATTACTACAGTATTGATTTTCAGTAGCTTTGAAACAAACAAAAAAAAGAAATGACTGCAGTAGAAGCTACAGTAGATTGTAGTATTCCCGGGACACTGAGAAGCTGGTATCGCCCTCCCATTTCCCAATTTCCTATTTTGTTCTCATTTTGTAAACCCATTTCAAAGATCCACTGGTTGCAGAAAGGGGAGAAATGTTTGTCCAAGGTCACAAGGTAGATGGAAGCATGAAATGATGAACAGTAAACTCTGGCTAATCTGCCAGATCTATCTGGGAGCCTGTTTTTGTACTGCCAGAGCAGTAAGAAGGGTTTTCATATTTTTAAAAGATTGCATAAAACAAAACAAAAGCAAAACCCTCCATATAAAGACATAGGCCATATGTGGTCACAAAGCCTGAAATATTTACTATTACTTGACCCTTTACAAAAAAAGTTTGTAGACTCCTACTTAAGAGCTCAAGATCTAGAATCAGACAGACCTGGGTTTGGAACCTAGTGAGACCTGAGTAAATTACTAATGTCTTTGAGACTCAGTTTCCTCATCTGTAAAATGGGATTGATGTGAGGATTGAATGAAGTTGGGTTGCAGAGTCCTCCTCACAGAGCCTGCTAAGTGCTCAACATAGAAGCTTATCTAATTTTATTGTTTGTATTGGAGCAAAGTCTCCTGATACTTTCTAGATCAGGCTACTCCCATCCCTGGCTGGATCCCCAGAGGTGTCATCATCTCTGTGTATTGATGGTGCTATGGCCTTTCTCCTCACCCTGCTCGCAGCTGTAATCAGGCAATCACTTTGGCCCTAGCACCTAATCAAATGATTTTGCTATTTCACATTCAAACACGTGCTTTTCAGATTATTCTGTGAGACCCATATATTTTCATTAAGAGTTGATAATAAGCTCTAACACTGAGAGCTTTTCCAAGTTCACGATTGATGAAAATGTGATAGGGAGCTGAGTGGCTCCAGTTGCCAGCTCAGGCGCGAATCTGCTTGGGGCAATTGCAGAGCCTCCCAGCAGCACATTCCCAAACCTTCAGCTTCACTGCCTGCCCAGAGCCATCTGGAGAGGCCCCCTCCTCCAGGCATGATTTGCAGACTAAACAGACTGAGCATGTGGCAACTTTCTATTTCCTTCTTATAGTGCTGCTCTGGAGGCAGAGTATCCTGGCAGAAGGCAAGTTGCTACCATAATCCAGAAGGCTTGGAAATGTGGTCTTTGTTTTTATGCAGGTCAGTGGTAGCGAAAGATGAAATCTGTGAATTCTTTCTTCCTTGCTTTTTTTTTTTTTTTTGGTTTCTTTGTCAAACACTCTGAAAATTTGCCAACACTCTGAAATCTGAGTTTCTTGAATTCTTGAAGGCAAGGTAGAGAGAGTCCTTTTCAAATCTGTTCCAAGAGCTGAGAGAAGCCAGAGGACCCAGGACCCCCACTGCTGGACAACTAGATGTTTTGGGGATGGGTGGCTATTGCCCTGTCCTGGAAGCACTGCGGCTTTAGCAGAAGGAGGATGCGCCCACACCTGTGTACTCCAGCTGCAGGCTAGCCTCTGTAGTAAGTCAACGCCTGGTACTAGGTCCTGAACTGTTTGGAAGGGTGCTCCTCCCTTCTGCCAAAGTAGGAAAGACCTGGGAGGTTGCAGGGAGCTCTGCCCACTTGCTACTGGGAAACAGCCGCTTGGACAGAAAGTCAGAGGCAAACAGGAATGGGTGTTGCAAAGAATGTCAATGGCCACACACATATTGGGAGGGAGCCCAGCACTAAGTACTAGGATGAAGATGGCAAGTGCCGTTTTTTTGCCTTTCAGCTCAGTATCGCAGTACCAGCTCAGAGAAGCTTTGGGAGGTGAAGAGCTTAGTGATCCCCAGCCAAGGAGATGAGAGAGAGTCTAAGTGTGGGTGTCATAAAGTTCTGGTTTAAGAGGGAATTGTTTTATTGGGCGAAGAGTGCTTGTTCCTTCCATTATGCCCCCTAGTGGGGCCTATGGACTGTGCAAACAGTCTGGGGACCCTCCCACCTCCGGGAATGGGACTCTTTGTGTCAACTTCACCTCCATCTGTGAGGCCAACCCAGATGAACTGAGGGAATGTATGTTTGGCCTTGATTTTTGCTAACTGATAAATTCTGTTCACAGACAACCCAGAGGTGTTTATATGGAGTTTGGAGTGATTGGAATTTGTGTCTGTTTTTCTTAATTCTAAAACTCACCTTATTTTTCAGAAAGATTTTTCAATGCATATTTTTTTCTTCTTATTAGAAATTCATTCATATGTGTGTCAAGTCAAACATCCCTAAGGTGCCAAAACAGTTAACAGTCTGTCTTTGCCTTTGCTTTCCGCAGATTAGAGGAGAAGGGAGAGGATTTGCTTTTTTTGGTCTTCCTAGCAAAACCTTGGCTCTGCCTTGAGGAAGTCAGTGAACAGAATGAAAATGGGAGAGCCTTTTATTGTTCCATCCAGAAAGAAGATCAAGGATAACGGATACAGGGTGAGACCATGAAGCACTGGCAAAGAAGGCAGCAAAACCTGGAAGCTGCTGTTGCCTGTCAAAGAGGGCCACCATCTTGCTTTGGGATATAAACATTTCCTTCTCTCAACAGTTCTAAGACCCTAAACTTGACCCCACTTTGTGTTTAGCTTACCCATCTCTGGGCTATCCTGGCTTACCTTTTCCCTTCTCAAGTCCCTTCTACTGAGGGGCTGAGGGCTGATGCTAAAGCGAAAGGGGAAGAGTTATAGAGCAAATGTCCTTAACTTTTCAATTAAACAACCCTTTCCCATTCTCATATCCTTCCATCCCCTCTCTCATGCAAATCCCATCTCTTCCATAGCCTAGTGGAAGTTTAATGTGTTTTCTCTTGCCTATATACTCTTGTTTTTGTTTTTTAAGGTTTCTTCCATCAAAAGGAGAGGCTTTCTCACTTAGCCTAAAATGTGAATAGTTGATAGCTCTGCCCCAGAAGTCTTGAACAGAAAGACAGATGTTTAGAAATTAATCTCGCCTTCCCCCAGTGTTGACATTTCTAGAGCTGCTCCTGTTTTAGGCAGCAGTGATATTGGAATTAATTGAGAGAGTTGCAAAGGGGAATATTTACTGGACTCCTTTGCACTAAACTAGTCTTATCATTTACTTCTGTGAGATGTAAGGACATGTTTGTCTTTTTGATGCAGAATTAAATTGCTTTTTTTTTTGAGACAGGGTCTCCCTCTGTGATGGCTAATGTTGAGTGTCAACTTGATTGAAGGATGTGAAGTATTGTTCCTGGGGTTGTCAGTAAGGGTTTTGCCAAAGGAGATTAACGTTAGAGTCAGTGGACTGGGAGAGACAGACCCACCCTCAGCCTGGAGGCACCATCTAATCAGCTGCCAGTGTGCTAGGATAAAGCAGGCAGAAGGTGGAAGGGATGAACTTGCTGAGTCTTCCGGCCTTCCTCTGTCTCCCATGCTGGATTCTTCCTGCCCTCGAATCTGAGCCCAAGTTCTTCAGCTTTTGGACTCCTGGACTTACACCAGTGGTTTGCCAGGGGCTCTCAAGCCTTCATCCACAGACTGAAGGCTGCACTGTGGCTTCCCTACTTTTGAGGTTTTGGGACTTGGACTGATCCACCACTTGCTTCCTCGCTCCTCAACTCACAGACAGCCTATAGTGGGACTTTACCTTGTGATCATGTGAGTCAATTCTCCTTAATAAACTCCCTTTCATATATACATATATCTTATTAGTTGTGTCCCTCTAGAGAACCCTAATACATCCTCTGTTGCCCAGGCTGGAGCACAGTGGTGTGATCATAGCTCATTGAAGCCTTGACCTCCTGGGCTCAAGCAATCTTCCCACCTCAGCCTTCTGAGTAGCTGAGATTACAGGCATGCGCCACCGTGCCCAGCTAATTTTAAAAAATCTTCAGTAGAGAGATGGTCTCACTGCATTGTCCCAGCAGGTCTCAAACTTCTGGCCTCAAGTGATTCTCCCATCTCAGTCTCCCAAAGCTCTGGGATTACAGGTGTGAGCCACTGCATCCAGCCTTAAATTGCTTTAAATCATAGAGCATAGCAAACCAAAGACACTTCTATAGAATAAATGGAGTCAACCACAGCTCTTACACATTTTTCTTGGTGGCTCTCAAACTCTCTAAAACAGACATTAAATCATCTGGGGGGGCTTGTTAAACCAAAGATGGCAGGGCCCAGGATTTTGCATTTCTAGCAAGTTCCTAGGTTTTGCTAATGCTGTGATCAGAAGATCACAGTATAAGAACTAGATCATTAAAAAGGTTATGGAATGTACATCTCGATTTATTTTCTCAACAAATCCCGTGAAGTGCTTTGTTCCCTTGAGTGCATCTAAAAATATTCCCAGAGAACACATCTTTTCCTTTTACTTATATAAGAAATAATTTACGTACCAAGCTGAACATTAGCGTGGCTGACTTTGCAGCTGCTCTCCAGAATGTGGCTGCTTGGGTCTGCCTGCTTGGAAGCCTGGCTAGAAAATGGACCGCCACTAGTGGGAGGGCTTCTAGAGGCCTAAGGAGGGGATGGTGTGCTTGTTCCCTTCCCAGCCATTGACAGGATTGCCTGGGAATCCTGACATTTTCTCCTTGTCACTCAAAGCAACTTTCTTTATCTGGCACCATCTTAAGGGAAGGTGGGGCCAGCAGGAGGAGAATGAGGATTTGGTCCCTGCCAAAGGTTCTGGAGTGGGATTTTTTAAAAACACAATTGGGTGCTTTCAGACTGTATTCTTCATGCTTCACTCTTTTAGTGGCCAGTGAGAAAATACAAAGCTCAAATCACCTTAACTAGAAAAAAAAATGCACTGGCTCAGGTAACTGGAAAGGCCGGAGGAAGTCTAGCTAGCTTCAGGCATAGCTGGATCCAAAAGCTCCCTAGCTCTTTTCAAATGAGAGCCTTCCGTACTTCCCAGATCTATTTCTGTCCATATCGGCACTACACCTACCATCTGAGTGTTCACTGTGAGTGAAGAATTGTCATGGGTACTAGGAAGAGAGGTTCCACATATAAAGAAACCTGAAAGAAACAGGAAAGAAAATGCTTTCCCTTTTTTTATGCTTGCTCCTTTATTATAGATGCGTTTACCTCCTAATTCCTGACTGTTCAAGGTCTATGTCTATCAATGTTTTGTCACCCATAACCCATGAAACCTTCCCTGATTTCCCAGCTAGTGAAATCTCTTTTTCTGAATACCATCAGCGGTTTACTTGTGAGAGGCGGTGGAGCTTAATAGCTGAGTGTCTCTGCTCTAGTGGGCACTGCCTGACACTTGCTAGCGGTCTGTCTTTGAGCAATCACTTCATCTCTCTGCGCCTTAGTTTTCTCACCATAAAATGAAGATAATAAGTTTCCAGAGTTGTGAGAACAAAACCGTGGATGTAAAAGTGCTAAGGTGGTGTCTGTTACAGAGAAAATCCTCAACAAATGCTTCCTTTTATTGATTTTTCCTCTGTGCCATTTCCCATTTTCTACTTTGTATTATTGTTTCTGCTAAAAAGCACCCCATTTCCCCCTTTTTACAGGCTAGGTCCCCTTGGCTACAAAAATGTCCTTGCCTGCAACTTGTAGGAGGCATTGTTGACACTATGAAGTCTGACAGCCTCTCCTAATCACCAGCTATACCGTGAGTCCGGCGTGGTTCAGAGGAGAGCTTGTTGATGGCTACTGCTGGTTTGTACCTCATGTTTTCCTTGTTTTTCAACACCTCTCATTTCTTTCCATGGTAACCACTAGCTCATGGTGAACAGCTTTAGTGGAGCCACAGCATTTACTGTCAACCATTAAGATAGTAAAACCTTGAGGAGTCCAACCATCCCAGTTTCTTGGCACTGGTAGATTCTTTAAATGCTTCCAAATTCCCATATCCATATGTCAAAACATGGATTTTTATATAATACCTCATGTTTGGTTACAAGAAAGGCAAACTTTTATGCCTCCTCAATAATTTATCCTCAGATCCTTGTTTGAGAAACACTAACTTTAAAAAATAACATCTTATTCTGTGGAAATATTTGAATTGCTGAGAGAGATTTTTTTCTTTTCCTTTTTTTTTTTGAGATGGAGTCTTGCTCTGTCACCCAGGCTGGAGTACAGTGAAGCAATCTCGGCCCACTGCAACCTCTGCCTCCTGGGTTCAAGCAGTTCTCCTGCCTCAGCCTCGTGAGTAGCTAGGATTACAGTCACCCACCAACATGTCTGGCTAATTTCGGCCAGGCTGGTCTCTAACTCCTGACCTCAAGTGATCCACCCACCTCGGCCTCCCAAATTGCTGAGATTACAGGCATGAGCCACTTATTATAATTAGTAAAGAACTGAAATGTTAAGATTATCTCTGAAATGAAAACACAAAGTAGTTCTCTATTAGGAGGGCTGATAGAGATAGCGATACACACTATCACTAAGAGAAAATACATATGGTGGTGAAGAGAATTCCAAAGCATTTGCTGGGAAAAACAAAAGAAACTGAGGCAGGCAATTATGGGATGAAAGGGATAGTTAAAGATTCAGCATGGACTCAAACTAGGCATCCTTTTTGAGAACTCAAACACAAAGCAAGAAGCTGAACTGAGAGCTTTCTCTCATCAGCACCATTCACTCCAACTTTGCATTAATACTAGATTTCTGTACAATGGATTTTAAGCCTCTATGACACATAAATTTATTATTTATGTATATTTTTTATCTCTTCAACTAGACAGAATTTTCAAGGGCAAGTTTCTCTATTTTGTTCAAACCAAACAAGGCTCTTCCTTTTATTTCATGTAGGTGACAAATTGAGGTTATAGATCTTAAAGTGACATCAACATCTCATATGGTCCGAGAGTCTTTTCAGATTATATGTTTTCAGATAGCATTTGAGGCACAAAGATGGAGAGATAGAGAAATGAGACATATTTAAAGGATTTGGCAGAAGGAATGAATTAGTGCTGGAGTCTGCTTTGGATCATATCTAGGAACAAGGAAGGATGTATTTACTTGTAGAGAAGTAGCAGTATAAGCATTGCGCTTCACAGGCAGCATTTTTTCCTCTAAATTAGTTAAAAGACTAAAGCTTCCTTAAAGTCAGACAACACAGAGGATGGTCAACAGGAAAGCCATCATTTCCTTTCTTCTTGGTCAGTGGGATGAAGTATTTGTTGGGCATGTGGTACATCAGGAACCTCGGCCCATCGTGCAGTCTGGCTTCTGCATATGACCTGAGGAGCCTCCAAAACAACTCTTGCCAACGTTCCAGTAAGCTCCTAGAGGCAGGATTCTAGGGACACGTTTAAGGCCTTCACCCAGGAGTTGGCAGCCTTCTGTAATGGGCCAGATAGTGAATATCCTAGGCTTGTGGCCATCTGGTCTCTGTCACAACTCCTCGGTTGCTGTGGTAGCTTGAAAGCAACCACAGAGGGTATATAAATGAAGAAGCATGGCTGTGTTCCCATAAGACAGCATGCATAGATGCTCAAATGCAAATTTCATATGCATTTCAAGTTAGGAAATATTCTCCTTCTCTTTATTTTTTTCAGTCACTTAAAAATGTAAAGACCATTCTTAGCTGTGAGCCATACAAAAACATGTGGCATGTGGCAGGCTGGACTTGATCAGCAGGCCATAGTTAACTGATCCTGATTGATTGATTGATGATTGATTGATTTGAGAGAGAGTCTCTCTCTGTCGCTCAGGCTGGAGTGCAGTGGCACGATCTTGGCTTACTGCAACCTCCACCTCCAGGTTCAAGTGATTCTCCTGCCTAAGCCTCCTGAGTAGCTGGGATTACAGATGTGTATAACCGAACCCGGCTAATTTTTGTATTTTTAGTAGAGACTGGGTTTTGCTATGTTGGCCAGGCTGATCTCGAACTCCTGGGCTCAAGTGATCTGTCCCCCTCAGCCTACCAATGTGTTGGGATTATAGGCATGAGCCACCATGCCTGGCACCTGATCCCTGATTTAGAAAACCCCCTCGCTGGTGGTAATGTGCAGCCATTGTTGAGAATCCCTAGGCTAGACTTGGAGTTTCTCGAGCCATAGGCCTAAGTTATCTTTGCATCCCCACATGGTAGGTGGATGCTTGATCAAGGTTGAATGGATTAATCTTTATGGGTCCCCTGCATGCCCTTGCCACAGTGATGTTATTGACATGGTTAATCATCCAAGATTACTAGGGAGCAGGGCAGGTTATGATTGGTAAAGAGGGAGGGACCAAGTGGCAGCAGGCACTGGAAGGCTCACTGGAGGGAGAGGTGTGGGAGAGGCTGTGGCGGCCACAGGGGACTCCACTCAGACCTCGCTCCAAGGGAACCTGCTGTGAGGAGGTAGCTGGTGGACAATCATTAGCTGCTGCACCTTTGGATCCATCAGGGTTCTCACAGAGGCCGTGCTTTCCCGGGCTGTTTCCAGCCAATACTAAGCATGGCAGAAGTCTAGAGCTGGGCCTTTCTGCTCATTGCAAGACCTTCTGCTGGGCCATCTCTATACTGGGGCTCTGTACCAGCCTGGCTGAATCTTTCTCAGAGCTGCTCTGCAGTGTGAGGCTCCTTCCCCCGTTTCTTTCTTTCCTCTCTCGGTTCACAGCTGTCAGACCGGCATCGTGGTCTGGAGCCATTCACTAGGTACACCGGCTCCCTCTCCTCTTTATCCTTCACAGGGATTTCTTTCAGCAAATCTCTTCTTGGAGGACTTGAACTGACACAGGAGCACTCAGGGGGAGACTGGAGAAGTAGATAGATCTCACTTTGTTTCTTGTTTGGGATTTCTTTTTTTAAAAATTCCTTTTTCTATTTTTTCCTTATTTCTCAGAAGATAGAATGAACAGGGTTAGCAATGGCTCTTCTGATTTTAATGGTATATTTATTTATTTATTATTATTGTTTTGAGACAAGCTCTCACTCTGTTGCCCAGGGTGGAGTGCAATGGCAGGATCACAGCTCACTGCATCCTTGCACTCACTGGCACAAGAAGCCTCCCACCTCAGCCTCTCAAGTAGCTGGGACTACAGGCAAATGTCACAATACCTGGCTAATTTTTTTTTTTTTTTTTTTTGTAGAGACCGGGTCTTACTACATTGCCCAGACTGGTCTCAAACTCCTAGGCTCAAGCAGTTCTTATCCGTTGGCCTCCCAAAATGCTGGGATTATAGGCATGAGCCACTGTGCCCAGCTTACTCTGATTTTAATGGAATTGATGAAAGAATTGCAGTCCAGTGTGAAATTTCTTCTGAGCTCACAGGTATTCTCGACTTGAGACTGGTGATTCCTTAGGGAAATTTTACATTGTGCTCGTAGCTTCAAGTAAAAATGAATCCTTCTTCTTCTTGTTTGTACTAATGGTTGTGCAGTTGCCATATTACTGAGACATTTGAGAGGCCTTCAGGTGAGAGGCCTGGGAGCTACACTGGGTTTGACCATCTGAAGACTGACTCCAGCCTGGGTTGGTGACCAAGGGGTGAGAAACAGGATGAGCTGGGCTGCATGGAATGCCCCCAGCTTTTGTCTATCTTCATTGTCATTTTGTAGAATCTATTTGAGAATAGACATTAAAGTTCATCCCTGGGGAAGAAACCAGAAAAAAGCATCAGGGCTCCCTGCCAATGCCTGAGGTCTGCTGCTACCCTGCCATCTTCAGAAAGGATGAAGGGGGAACTACAGGTCTGAGAGATGACAGAGGCCACTGCTCAGTTCCTACCCTTTCCAGGCTTGTTTACCTGGATGCAGGGTCATCGGCTGTTTCCAGCTTCTGCAGGGGGTGAGGGCTTCTAGCGTGGTTCTTATTGAGTCAGACTTTGGGCTGGGTGGAGTTTGCAGATTCCACATTAAGGGACTCTTTAAGCTGGCTGGTGGTGACAGAAGCTGGCAGAATCTGGCATGCAGCTGCTGCGACTGATGAGCCAGAGGTGGCTTGGGGGTACTAGCAGCTCCCAGCTTATGTGATGCACATCTGTAGAAACCCCTGGAGACAAGAGCCTCTTCTCTGACAGTTTCAGGCCAAATCCTTGGAAGGGTATTGATTAACTAGACCTTAATCATGTGCCCACATTTGATCAAAGGAGGCCCATGTGGAAGGGGCTCTGTGCAAAAAAAGAGGGGGTGATGTTTTCAGAAGAAGATGAGCTAGGCTGCATGGAGTGTCCCTTCCCCCACCTCAGTGGACACAATAGCTACCACTCTCCTCTGCATGTGGTCAGAGGCCAGGCATTTGGATGAGAGCCAAAAGCACACCAATATGAAAAGTAGTAGCCCAAAGTTCAGGGAAATAGCCAGGAATTAGACCTGTGGGAGCAGGGCTGAAGAAGGATGGCTAATATAAAAGTAATAACAGTGAGCACTTGCTGAATGCTGTATCAGCTGGGATGCTTTCACCTACAAATAAGGAAAAATCTTACTCAACAAGTTTAAACAATAAAAAGGCTGAAGGCAGAAGGCTCTGGGCTGCTTAAGACAGCCACTCAATGGTCTTCAAGAACCTGGGTCTCTCCACCCTCCCACTTTCTCATCATTTTTATCTTCCTCTCTAGGTGAGGCTCCGTCACAGTCCCACAATAGTGAAGTATCTAAGTGTCACCACCTTGTGTAATGAAATACAAGTGCTTCCCTTCCTTAAGTAACCCTCCCCATAATCTTTTTCTAATGAAGGTACAATATGCATAACATAACATTTACCCTCTTAAGCCTTTTTAAATGTACAGTAGCAGAATGAAATACATTGACATTGTTGTGCAGTCATCACCGCCATCATTTGTGAATGCTGTGAATTTTTGAGACACACAAACATTCAAGCCATAGCCCACCCTCTCTCCCACAGACACTGGCATGTACCCTTCAACTTTCTGCCTCTATAAATTTGACCACTCCAGGTGCTTCATATAAGTGGAATAATACAATGTTTGTTCTTTTGTGACTGGCTTATTTCACGTAGCATAATGTCCTCAAGGTTCATTCACGTTGTAGCACATGTCAGAATTTCCTTCCTTTTGAAGTTGACTAATATCCCGTTGTATAATGACCACTAAAGTATCATTCTTTAAGGGACACTTTAGTTGCTCCTACCTTTTGCTTATTGTGAATAATGCTGATATGACAAATATCTCTGGGAGACCCTGCTTTTAGTTCTTATGGGGATATACCCAGAAATGCTGGATTGTATGATTATTTTATTTTTTGAGTCTCTTTTAAGCCTGAAAAATTCTTTCTAGAAGGTTTATCAAAAAGGCTTCCCCTACTGGACACAGTAGCTCACGCCTGTAATCCTAGCACTTTGGGAGGCCCAGGTGGGCAAATCATGAGGTCGGGAGATCGAGACCATCCTGGCCATGGTGAAACCCCGTCTCTACTAAAATACAAAAAATTAGCTGGACGTGGTGGCACACACCTGTAGTTCCAGCTACTCAGGAGGCTGAGGCAGGGAAATCGCTTGAACCCAGAAGACGGAGGTTGCAGTGAGCCGAGATCATGCCACTGCACTCCAGCCTGGCAACAGAGCAAAACTCCGTCTCAAAAAAAAAAAAAAAAAAAGGCTTCCCCTTACACTTCTTTGTCCAGATTGCATCATAAGGCCACTCTTAATTAGTCATTGGCAAAGGAAGAAGAAATAGAACTACTTTGATTGGCTTACTCATGTGGTCAAAGTTAGTGGCTGCCAGAGTAAAACTGGGATTCTACCAGGAAGAAAGAATGGAAGAGGCATGCCTATATGGCAGGCTGCTAGGCTCTGATCCAGGAACTACTCCTGTCCCTTTCTTTTCTACTGCAAGGGACTGCTACCCATGACAGACACAAAATATTCCATAATCTGTATCTTGGCCATTTTTGCAGGAAGGGGTAGCTGTGTGACCCAATTCTGATATGAAGTGGATGACCAACTCAGGCTTGCCTGAAACTTTCTTGGATTTAGTACTGTAAGTCCTGTGTCCCAGAATGCTGTGGGTAAAATTCTTCTATTTGATTTTAAAAGAGAGTCATATGAGGGGAGTTCTTCTTGACCCTACTTCCTCCCTGGCTTGGGCAACTTTGTGCGAGGTCATGATGCCTGGATCTTTGGCAACCATTTTGCTGTTATTGGGTGATAAGTTTAAGGAAGAAAGTCAAGCTCCTTAGTTTAATTAGATCATGTGTGAATTTTGGCTTTTGTTGCAATTGCTTTTGGCATTTTCATCATGAAGTCTTTGCCCATGCCTATGTCCTGAATGGTATTGCCTAGGATTTCTTCTAGGGTTGTTGTAGTTTTGGGTTTTACATGTAAGTCTTTAATCCATCTTGAGTTAATTTTTATATGAGATGTAAGAAAGGGGTTCAGTTTTAGTTTTCCACATATGGCTAGCCAGTTTCCCAGCACCACATATTGAATAGGAAATCCTTTCCCCATTGTTTGTTTTTGTCTGGTTTGTTGAAGATCAGATGGTTGTAGATGTGTGGTGCAATTTCTGAGGTTTCTGATCCATTGGTCTGTATGTCTGTCTTGGTACCAGTACTGTGCTATTTTTGTTACTATAGCCTTGTAATATAGTTTGAAGTCAGGTAATGTGATGCCTCCAGCTTTGTTCTCTTTGCTTAGGATTGTCTTGGCAATTATGGCTCTTTTTTGCTTCCATATGAATTTTAAAATAGTTTTTTTCTAATTCTGTGAAGACTGTCAATGGTAGTTTGATGGGAATAACACTGAATTGAATTTATAAATTACTTTGGGCAGTATGGCCATTTTCACTATACCGATTCTTCCTGTCCATGAGGATGGAAAGTTTTTCCATTTGTTTATGTACACTTTTATTTCCTTGAACAGTGGTTTGTAGTTCTACTTAAAGAGGTCCTTCACATTCCTTTTTATCTGTATTCCTAGGTGTTTTATTCTCTTTGTAGCAGTTGTGAGTGGAGTTTATTCATTATTTGGCTCTCTGCTTGTCTATTATTGGTGTATAGGAATGCTTGTAATTTTTACACATTGATTTTGTATCCTGAGACTTTGCTGAAGTTGCTTATCAGCCTATTGAATTTTTTGGGCTGAGATGATGGGGTTTTCTAAATATTGGATCATGTCATCTGAAAACAGAGACAATTTGGCTTCCTTTCTTCCTATTCGAATACCCTTTATTTCTTTCTCTTGCCTGATTGCCCTGGCCGGGACTTCCAATGCTATGTTGAATAGGAGTGGTGAGAGGGCATCCTTGTCTTGTGTTGGTTTTCAAAAGTAATGATTCCAGCTTTTGCCCATTCAGTATGATATTGGCTCTGGGTTTGTCATAAATAGCTCTTACAATTTTGAAATATGTTCTATCAATTCCTAGTTTATTCATAGTTTTTAACATGAAAGATGGTTGAATTTTATCAAAGGCCTTTTCTGCATCTATTGAGATAATCATGTGGTTTTTGTCTTTGATTCTGTTGATGTGATGGATTACATTTATTGACTTGCATCACAGGGATGAAGCCAACTTGATTATGGTGGATAAGGTTTTTGATGTGCTGCTGGGTTTGCCAGTATTTTATTGAGGATTTTTGCATCGAGGGACAGCCAAAGTGTTTTATTAAACAGGTCCTTTTCACTGAGACCTGCCCCCAAGAGGGGTTGTCAGACACCCTATATAGGAGCAATCCGACTGCCAAAAGTTGGTGCCTGTCGAGGTTAGAGATCCCAGAAGAAGGAGGAGGCACCCATCTTTGCTGTTCTCCACCCTCCTTGAATGACATCTCCAGGTGCAGGAGAGAACCAGATGAATAGGGCCTGAAGTGAACCCCCAGCAAACTGCAGCAGCCCCACAGAAGAGGGACCTGAACACTGAAACAAAAACAAACAAAAAACAGAAAGCAACAACAATACCATCAAGACCCATCGGTGTGCTGTATTTGAGAAACTTATCTCACATGCAAAGACACACATAGGCTCAAAACAAAGGGATGGAGGAAAATTTACCAAGCAAATGGAAGGCAAAAAAAAAGAAAAGAAAGTCTCCACAAAAACCTCATCCAAAGGTAAGCAGCCTCAAAGATGAAAATTAGACAAACTCATGAAGATGAGAAAGAATCAATGAAAAAACACTGAAAACCCAAAAGGCCAGAGTGCCACTTCTCCAAATGATAGCAGTGTCTTTCCAGCAAGGGTGCAGAGTTTGACAGAGGATGAGATGGATGAAATGACAGAAGTAGGCTTCAGAAGGTGGGTAACAAAAAATTCCCCTGAACTAAAGGAGCATGTTCTAACCCAATGCAAGGAAGCTAAGAACTTTGATAAAAGGTTAAAGGAGCTGCTAACTAGAACAACCAGCTTAGAGAGGAACATAAATGGCCTGATGGAGCTGAAAAACACAGCATGAGAACTTTGTGAAGCAAACACAAGTATCAATAGCCAAAGTGACCAAGCAGAAGAAAGGATATCAGAGTTTGAAGACCACCTTGCTGAAATAAGGCATGCAAACAACATTAGAAAAAAAAAAGAATGAACAAGAATGAACAAAGCCTCCAAGAAATATGGGACTATGTAAAAAGACCAAATCTATGATTGATTGGAGTACCTGAAGGAGATGGAGAGAATGGGAATGAGCTGGAAAATACTCTTCAGGATGTTATCCAGGAGAACTTTCCCAACCTAGCAAGATAGGCCAACATGTAAATTCAGGAAATACAGAGAACGCCACTAAGATACTCCTCGAGAAGATCAATTCCAAGACACATAATCACCAGATTCTCCAAGGTTGAAATAAAAAAAAAAAATATTAAGGGCATCCAGAGAAAAGGTCAGGTCACCTACAATGGGAAGCCCATCAGACTAACAGCGGGCCTCTCAACAGAAACTCTACCAGCCAGAAGAGAGCAGAGTCCAATATTCAACATTCTTAAAGAAAAGGGTTTTCAACTCAGAATTTCATATTCAGCCAAACTAAGCTTCATAAGCAAAGGAGGAATAAAATCCTTTCCAGACAAGCAAATGCTGAAGGATTTTGTCATCACCAGGTCTGCCCTGCAAGAGTTCCTGAAGGAAGCACTAAATATGGAAAACAAAAAATGGTACCAGCCATTGCAAAAACAGAAAAAAATCAAACAAACACAGCAAAATATAAAAACCAATGACACTGTGAAGAAACTGCATCAATTAGCGTGCAAAATAACCAGATAGCATCATGATGACAGAATCAGATTCACACCTAAGAATACTAACCTTAAATGTAAATGGGCTAAATGCCCCAATGGAAAGACAGACTGGCAAATTGGATGAAGAGTCAAGACTCATCGGTGTGCTGTATTCAGGAGACCAATTTCACATGCAAAGACACACATAAGCTCAAAGAAAAAGGATGGAGGAAAATTTACAAGTAATGGAAAGCAAAAAAAAAAAAAAAAAAAAAAAAAAAAAAAAAAAAGCAGGGCCTGTCTTGCAATCCTAGTCTCTGAGAAAGCAGACTTTAAACCAACAAAGAGCAAAAGAGACAAAGAAGGGCATTACATAATGGTAAAAAGATCAATTGAACAAGAAGAGCTAATGATCCTAAAAATATATGCACTCAATATATTTTTGAGGAGCACCCATATTCATAAAACAAGTTTTTAGAGACATACAAAGAGACTTAGACTCCCACACAATAATAGTGGGAGACTTTAACACTCCACTGTTAATATTAGACAGATCAACGAGACAGAAAATCAACAAGGATATTCAGGACTTGAACTCAGCTATGTATCAAGTGGACCTAATAGCCATCTACAGAACTCTTCACCCCAAATCAAAATATACATTCTTCCCAGTGCCACATGGCAGTTATTCTAAAATCAACCACATAATTGGAAGTAAAACACTCCTCAGCAAATGCAAAAAACCCGAAACCATAACAGTCTCTCAGACCACAGTGCAATCAAATTAGAACTCAGGATTAAGAAACTCATTCAAAACAATGTAATTACATGGAAATGGAACAGCCTGTCCTGAATGACTCCTGGGTAAATAAAGAAATTAAGGCAGAAATCAAGAAGTTCTGTGGCCAACAAGCATATGAACAAAAGCCCAGCATCACTCATCATTAGAGAAATGCAAATCAAAACCACAATGAGATACCATCTCACACCAGTCAGAATGGCCTTTATTAAAAAGTCAAGAAACAGCTGGGTGTGGTGGCTCATGCCTGTAATCCAAGCATTTTGGAAGGTAGAGGAGGGCAAGTCACAAGGTCAGGAGATGGAGACCATCCTGGCCAACATGGTGAAACCCCGTCTCTACTAAAAATACAAACATTAGCTGGGCATGGTGGCACGTGCCTATAATCCTAGGAATAATCTCATTCCTTTTTATGGCTGCATAGTATTCCATGGTGTATATGTATGACATTTGCTTTATCCAGCCTATCATTAATGGGCATTTGGGTTGGTTTCATGTCTTTGCTATTGTAAATAGTGCCATAATAAACATACTTGTTCATGTGTCTTTATAGTAGAATGACTTATAATCCTTTGGGTATATACCGAATAACAGGATTGCTGGGCCAAATGGTATTTCTGGTTCTAGATCCTTGAGGAACTGCCACACTGTCTTACACAATGGTTGAACTAATTTAAACTCCCA